TAAAAGAAGTTCTGAAAAATATTTAGCGCGGGCAGTTTAAATGACAATTTCTGGAAACTTTCTGGTCTTAACGTAGTTCAACTTTAACACCTTTTTTTGATCAGCTATGACAATATTTTTAATTTCAAAAAAAAATAAGAAATAAACGGTAGACAGAGGGACAAATTTTCAACTATTTTCACTTCAAATCATTTTATTATCTTTTATGTTTATTTAATACTAAGTATAAACGAAAAAGTACTAATTTTCACTAAACAAAAGTATTGGCACACTTCAATTTCACTGGGCTATTGAGTTTAAATTTGATTGATCTAGCAACTATTTTTTAAAAGTCCCGTTATATAAAGAATTGGGTTTTTGTCAAAAATCAAACCTCAAACATCAATTTTAGTGAGCTTTACATAATTTTCAGAAAAATGAAAAATGAGAATTTTTTAAAATTGAAATTTGAAGCACAAAAATAAAGCAAAAGTCCAAAAATCGTTTTATATCAGGCGTTTAATATTTTTGAAAAAACTTTTGAGTGAAACTCCCTTGTTTTTTGTATCATGATTTAGCCCTTGTCAATTCTTCGCCACCATTCTTGAATAGCTCAGCAAGTAAGTTGTCGGCTCACGGCACTTTCTTGTTTTTTAATCGTCCAATCGCTTTCGAAAATTAATAGTTGGGAGATCAAACGTCTATACCATCATTGTCATCGATTTATTTGCTTCAGATTCGTTATCTCCGCGTGTTTCAATTTAGCTTCAAGCATGCTGGATAAGTGCCCCCTACATAAACTCAGTATACCTTGAGCGCTAGTCACCAGATCCCCTATCTCGTTCCTACAGGAGAAATCTCCAGTCATGCCTCATCTTTCCATAGAGTTCCCGAAGTCGAAACTTCCATAAGAAACATAGACGCACGTTCCTTGTTGCACTGAGGCGGATGCGTATCTTGGCATGAACTAATCCGTGCTGAAAATAATTTATGGTTTAATAAAGAAATGAAAAGCTTGAAAAATAAGAAGAATAGATTATTCAAGCTCTATAAAAAAGTTCGGAAAAATGTCTGGTTGTAGTGCTTTTTCCGTAGTTAAACAAAAGTATAATATTTTTATTAAGTCGTGTTACAAGCATTAATTCGTGTGGTTTTCTAAGAGAGGGCTCTAGTAGTATTATTTCGCGTCGTCAAAGGTACTGCCATTTCGCGTGGTTTTCAGTAGATGTCATTTGTTTTAGCGTGAAAATGTTCTTCTTCATTACTTTAACATAAAGAAAAGTGCTACCGAAAGCCATCGTATTTTACTGGACGTTTATGGTGACCATGCTTTAGTTGGACGAACGTGTCAAAAATGGTTTGCACGGTTTAAAAGTGACAATTTCGACTTAGACGACGGACAGCCAAAAAATTTTCAAGACGAAGAATTGGAGACATTGCTCGACGCAGATGCATGCCAGACGCAAGAAGAATTTGCAAAAGCGCCTAATACTTATGCAGTACGAGAAGGAGCTGCCTTTGTGCCGCTATGTCTGAATTTGGTATCCCCGCAAAACTTATACGGCTTCTAAACTGACCTTGAACAACACTAAAAGCTCCGTTCCGAATCGGGAAAGACCTCTTCGAGCCGTTCGATACCAAGCAAGGCTTCAGATGGGACAATTCCTTATAGTGTGATTTCTTTAATTTATTGCTGGAAAAAATAATACGAACTGCAGAGCTAAATTGAGAAGGTACAATCTTCTATAAGAGTGTACAGCTGTTGGCATATGCTGATGATATTGACATTTTTGGCTTCAACTACCGCGCCGTTAGCTCTGCTTTATTAAGACTCGATGAAGAAGCGAATCAAATGGGTCGAGTAGTGAATGAGAGCAAGACGAAATATCTCGTCATCAAAGAAACAGTCGGCATATTAACGGCTTGGCTAATAATATATCACTGTTGACAGTCATAACTTCGTCTATCTAGGAATCAGTATTAACACCAACGGCAATGTCAGCAAGGAAATTCAACGCAGAATCATTTTTGCCAAAAGTCAATTGAAGAGTAAAGTGCTCTCTCGGCGAACGAAAAGCAAACTACAAGTCGCTCATCATATCCGTCCTACTATGTGGCGCAGAAGCGTGCGTGATATCAATATCTGATGAGTCGGCTCTAGGAGTCTTCGAGAAAAGTTCTGCGAATGATTTATGGTCCTTTGCGCATTGGCAACGGCGAATACCGCAGACGATGTAACGGTGACCTGTACGAGCTATTTAATGATATTGGCATAGTTAAGCGAATGAACAGACAGCGACTACGCTGGCTATGAAAGTATCCGATGCAGTACCCGCTAGTGGAAGCAGAGGAAGAGGAAGACCTCCGCTCCGTTGGAAGGATCAGGTGGAGAGCGGCCTCGCTTCACTTGGTATTTCCAACCGGCGCCAATTGATTCGGCTATAATCGCGTTAGCAGTTTCAACGCCAATAAAGAAGAAGAAGAGCAATTCGAATTCGCTCTTTGACATTTTCGAGTCTTGGATCAACTTGAACAGTAAGAGTATGGTTGTAGGACATACCAATCTGTTTTCGAGTTTAAGCAGATCACAATTATGTGCAAACTTTAGGGAGGCCTTCATTTTAAACTTCTACATTATTCATACGTTGTCGCAGTAGTCTGCCGATTTCGCGATGACTTTAATGACAATGACAAATCAATTGTGGAATATGTATTTTTTCGGTCGGTCCTTAGTATCTTCTCTTCAGTTATACATAATTTTTCTCGACTCACTATACAAAACGATTAATTGGTATAAGTGCGGAATAACATTTTTTTTATTTTGGCTATATTAACAGCCCTGCAGGGGAAAATACTAGTTGTCAACTAAAATTCAACTAGTTTAAATTTTTACACCAATTAAATCATCTTCATTCATTTTCCTTGGAAGCAGCTGACAATTGTCCTACTATGCATCAGCGTCATACTAGTTTAATACTAGTTCATTTAGTCATGTTGAATTTCTACTTCACCAAAAAAATACTAAATCAAATAAAATTCAGTTTTCCGGCTACGAGAATCGAAGCGAGATCTTCACGCACCACAGTTTTGACCTCTAACCACCAGACTATCGTTATGATACATGGAGGAACAAAATCCGCGCACTTCAACAGAACTTTTTAGGAAATGAAACTCAGCCGTGTCATATTAAAAACAAAAACAACATACGAATGACGTGGAGTGAATATTTTGGTTTTACCCAGAATTAAAAACAAAATAAAATTAAAAATTTCTGTTTCACAAAAAATTAAATAAAAGTAAAATTAAAAATTGATTTGCCTCTAGCGGGACTCTAACCGGGGCTTAACGCGCTACCTCTAACCACTCGGCTATATGACGATGAATAGAACAGAGCAGATAATAGAATTTAGCCGCGGTCTACCGATATAACAACAACAAACAGTGGTGGAAATTGTTATTTCTCCCTGGTGGACTTCTTTACAAATATCGAACTGGTATGATTTGGTCTTTGTGATAAATATACCTGATTTGAGAAATAATAGCAGAGATTAAATTCAACGTGATGTTCTTTATTATAATTCAACAGGAAGAAGAAAGATATAAAACGAGAGTATGTAATGACTCGCTATATTATAGAAGATGCCAGATTTTCTATATGTTTAGTATACATTTCAACAATCTTCAACATACAACAACACTAGTATTTAATTAGAATTTTTGCATATTTATTAATTTTAACCTGTAGGGAATATTTGCATCAAAAACGCAGATGGCGTCATAAGTGAGTGAACAACCGATCTATTTGATTTAGATTTCAAAAATTTAAATACCTACCAACAAGTAGGGAGAATTTTTTGCGTTGGTTTTTTCAGCATTTGAAGAGAATTATGTAAAGTTGTATCTCATAGAAGGTAATAGCAATATTTTAGTTTTGATCGTAAGTGTGCCAAATCTCTATCCATGGATGTATACATTGTTCGCTGGATAATTAATTTGTTTCATTACATGCTAACAGGTCTATTCTCACTGTTACCGGTTACTTGTTACTTTTTAATACCCGAAATTGAATTTGGTATTCTGGTGAACTGGTTACAATGTTTGTAAAAACTTTGGCAGCACTGCTTTTTTCGTCCTTGTAAAATTCCATTTTCTCTTTGGTAAAGTAAAAAAAGAAGAATATTCACATCTAAATGGAAGACGGTACATAACAAAATAAATAAGTTATATTTATTTGTTTATTAAATCATAAGTATTTGAACCTAAATTGGGAAAATATGCCTAAACGACAAAAAAAAAGGTGAATGCTAACGCCTTTTTCCAAATTAAAGGGGTAATTTGTTTCTCGCAAACTTCTTAGCATACGGCTTTTTCAACTTTTTTTTCATCTTCAATGAAATCCGTGTCTAAAATATGCCCACCCATCTTGGTTTTTATTTTTTCTCAAACTAACAATACAAAATCAAACAGCAAATTTTTTAGTTAACTCCTATTTCGCTGGTAACAAAATTTACAGGGTGACAGTGCACTCAGAATACGAAATAGTAAGAAAATTTAATGAACGATAAATTTTAATACCAAAGCAAATTTTTTTACCTCGACAGAATAGGCCTGTAAATATATAATGTAAAATGCAATTATTTTCATAAAAATCTTTTTTTTTTAAGTGGAATATGGACGAGGAAACAAATTTCCATAACCAAAACTTGTGAATCGGTTAATAAATTTCATTCGGCACTGTTCATTGGAGAGAGTAGATGAACTAAGAAATTGTTTTTTGAAATTCGAATTTTTGGAACAGTTAACAGTCCCCTAATTTAGATACGAAAGATTTCCTGCTAACACGTAGGCCAGTTGCAAAAAAAAAATTTTTTTGTTAACTCGCAATCTGTTCATAAAATATTTACCGTAAACACGTTGCTATTCATTCAATTTTAAGCAGTTGGCATAAATTTCTTTTTTCGTTTGTAGTCCTCTGAATCGGACATTACACTAGTTATAATTGTACTTGTTCTCTATTGCAGCTATTCGTCGTCAGAAACAACAAAAATGTCTCGTTTTGGGCTGCGTAGTAGTTCAGATATCTTCAAGGCTTCAGAGGAACAGGCGAATGGAAAGAAAGTAGTTTTTGACACTAAAGCGCCATCAAAGCGTAGTTGCCAAAGGAAAAATAACTACATGTACATAGAAAATGATGTTAAGTCGAATGAAACGTGCTATCAAAAAGGAGAAAATAAGAACCCAGTGTCAATTGTGTGCAGCTTGCCGCTGAACAGATTAACAGGATTTCTCGAAAAACTAAAAACAAAAAGAATACATTTTGAAATAAAGAATCAATACTCTTTTTCAAGTTCCCATAGCGAAGATAAAGTATTAGATGAAACTACTGGAACTTTCTGTGACAATGGTCCACAGCAACAGGAATACTACGAGCGCACTATATCTGTGGAGGAGAATGTTAGAATCCTTTGCTTGTTCTGTGATAAAAAGTTCACATCTTACAAAATGCAGCTGAAGCATGTAGACAAATTTCACATTCAAAATAAGAATCGTAGATGTAGTGGTCGTAATTCGAACGCGGCCTCAGTCTCCGATTCAAGAAAACAACGAGTAGAGTCGGGTGTTGTCGTAACAGCAGAGTATCCGGGATGTATATACTGTAAACGATCTAAGACTCATACGATAGAAGCCCCAACTAAGGAATTAGATGATCTTTTCTTTCATTTTGTAGACAGCCATCCAGATAAGTATTTTGGATGTAAATCATGCATGCAACGTTTTCCAAATTCTTCAAAATTAACCCAACATATGCATACAATTCACAAAGATGCACTACTTTTGGCAGATGACAGTACCAAAGGGAAGGATTGCGATTTATTTATTGTAGAAAAGGATCTTTCAGAAAAATATAGCAGAGAAAAAGGAAAATCATCAAAATTGCGTTCCACTAAACTGCAAAAGAATGTTAATGATGTAACCATACCGGCTCCTTCCCCCGAAAACTCTGCTTCGACTAGTTCTAACATTATAATGGGTGCAGAAGAGCCAATCCTATCTAGATTAGGATTAGTACAAAATCGTCTACCCAATAATAGAAAAGGTGTTCGCTCACGAAAAGATAACGTCTTATCAGACACAATTTTGAACGCCGACCATTCATCTGTTTATGTGACAGCTGTTAAAGCTCGTAATAAATCAGGAAGGAATGCAATCAGAGAGAGCGGTGATGCCGAAATAATTTTTCGTATGCCCACAAGAACAGAAATGTTGTCAAGTGTGTTTGATGAAAATTTTTATAAAGACGTTGTCTCAAATGTTCGAAATAATCTTTTGCATTTTTTGGATGGAAAAGTAATGGGAAATGTCGCGAGTGCCTCTTCTATAATTAAGCTTCAAACTCCAACGATAAAAAGTACACTAGTTGATAGTCCTATTTTTGTGGCTGGATGTAATGCTGTTGATAGTGAAATTCATGCCGCCACAAGTCTAACGACATCTACGGCTTTCCCAACTCTGCTAACAGCAGAACAATATGGTGGTGATGCAGTTTTATCGAAAATTCGTAGACCGCATACAAAACATTCCTGGAAATGGAAGTGGGACAGTGTGAAAAAGTTCAAGTTAATAAATGAAGGGGGTAAAATTGTAAAGAAAATGAAGCAGCCAATTCTGGGACTACGTGATTTATCAAAACTTGATATGTGGACTCAATTGTCAATGCGTCAAAAACACGAATTGCGGCAGTATATGTTGCACAGTGCAACAGATTCTAATGGAAACCTTCGCGAAGAAAAGCAACGTATAAACGAACAGTTAAATTATATTCTTGACATGCGATTATTGCCTCACATTATCTTGGAACAAAATGAACAAGCTATAATAAAAATTGAGAATGATGAGTTCGGAATAGTATCTTATATTCAAAACACCGAAGAAGACAGAACATTTAATGAATCATTTGTCGATGAACATTTTTTTTCTACACTTCAACTTTCGCCCATTCTTGAACGTCAATATCTTCAACAACAAGTTGTTTTAAGTGGAGAGTGGGCACGTCCCCGATGTTACCTATGCATGTGTTGTGGATCGAAATTCGAAAAATTGAAGTCGTTAGAAGAGCACAAGATGTTTCGACATTCACATGTTCTTTCTGCTCACTATGAGGTTGTAGGCCGTGAGCTTTTGGCAGGCAATTCACTGCGTCATTTATTTATACCGAACCGTGCTCTTGGTTATTACGGCAACGACAGTTATTTCAATACAAATAATTTACGTAAATCTGTTTGGAAGAAAAATGACTTGGTTCATATGAACCGAAGAATGATAACAGGATCAGCAGTAGATGACGAATCTTCTGACAGTGTTCCATCCACTTTAAATAGCTGTAAACATAGCGCAATTACAGATGAATGTGACACTGATACCAAAACAACGTTGGACATTACTACCGCCTCTCCATCCAATAGTATGCAATCATCAAATTCTCTTCTTTCTGCACCTTCGAAAATGCAACGCTACTGTAAGGAGACTACTATAACTACTGCAAAGTGCTCTAAGTGTACGCGCCGATGTAATGGCACTTTGGATTTGTATCGACATATGCTTGATTGCTCGGGGGATTATATTTGGTCAATGGCGAAGAAAAGAAAATACCGCTACTATTGTGGTTCGAAGAAGCGCCGTTCCTCGAACAAACATCATTTTGCGGAGTTAAGAAGAAATCCACCAAAAATCTCGAAACCTTCACTTCCATCAAATGATACTGAAGAGAGTGCTTCTTCCTCTAAAGTTAAGACTCCGTCAAGACAACGTCCTAGTGATGGTAAGTATTGTGTTGTTAATGTGTTATACTGTATACTAGAATAACATCGCTGGCTGCGATAGAGTTGTTCTTCCATGTAGTAATATTTTAAGTTTGCAACTTCCTCTTTCATTTCATTTAGATACATTAAACTAAGCATATGGCATTGTTTTTTTAGATTACCACTTGACTAAATGCTGAAAACTCTTCATCTAAGTTATTTATGATTTCAAAAGATTTAAAGTATCTTAAATGTTTTAAAATTTTTTGGATAAAAAATATGTACGTGTATATCACATAGTAGCAAAAATATCCAATACGGCTGGCTTTTATCGTAAGAAGTACGCTCGGAGCTTCTGGCGAGTCACTCTCCTAATGAAAAACAAATCCCTTTCTAATAGCGAAAGCTGGGCGCATTAAGAGTTGCGCCCCAGAGGAGGAGCTTTTATTATATTATTCCTTGCCAATCTCACCATAGATACAACAAAACCTTCACGACCGCAAGCCCTTGCTCGGAAACGTTGTGTAAGTGATCCGCTTTTCACCGCCAGTCACCATCCGCTTCAGAAATGGATCGATTTTATTACAATTCAGCAATAATTCGCAGATGGAAATGCTCGTAAACTCAACACTTCTCCCCTCATTTTTTAGTACAAAATATCATCTTTCTAACGGAATCTAGCATAAAACAGGCTGGTTAATCTAAGTCACCGAGGTCATCTAACGGTAGGTCCAGGAAACGAGCTGTTTCGACGGGTTCGAACCACAAAGACAGGGGGTCTCGTTCGTCTCCGACCTTCACATTTAGTTCAAGCCTGTATTCCTTCGTCCAGCCTGTGAAAAGGGTAGCCGAGGATTTGTTCGGTTGAGTTTTGTGTAGCCGTGCAGTGAAGGTCGTCGAGATAGCCGTTCACTTTCGAGAAAAGATCATCAATATTCTGGCCAGTCGCCAATATCGAGCACTCTTTAACCCCGGTGGTAATGATAGTAGCACTGAATGGTTGACGGTGTCGGTGACAAAAGCTTTTGACAGATCCAGTGCTACCAAAACAGTTCGCGCGCAGGGGTTGGTCGGTTAAGACCATTGAAGGTGTTTATGACGTTAAGGGCTGATGTGATACTATGCAATTTGCGGAAGCTATGTTGATGTGCTGCTGGACTTAGATGGTCAGTGAACGGCAGGAGCAGTAAGGCCTCAAGTGTATTCGCTACTGGGGAGAGGAGGAATGTGGACCGATATGATTCTGCTTTATTGACCTTGCTCACTTTCCACACATCGGGTATCGGGTCAAAGACAGATTAAGGATCTTGGTGAGGAAATCTGATCCCGCTGGTCCTAGATGTTGTAGTAACATCATGCTTATTACTTCGGAGCCGATGGATTTGGAGGCTATCGCCTTCAAGATGACCTCCTAAATCTTTTCCCTTGAGAAATCAAGCCTCGCGCTGGTGTTTGGTAGTTTACTTAGGCGGCGGGTTACACATCTTTTTTTTTTGTCGGGTCTGACGAGGCGCGGTCACCGAATGAAACTTCCACTCGGTCATCGCGTCTCGTCCCAGAGGAGAAATTTTCTCATCATCAAGTGCTCGTTCCAGTTTTGCCCTTATTATTGTTTACTCCTCACCGAATATCCTGGTTGAGATCCATGATTAGGGTAAATGGTGTCGCGCTTTGATGCTAAAACCGTCGCTTCCGTCGTGAAATTAGGGTAGACTTCCGTAATTCGGCCTGCCGAGATGAAGCGGACGGCAGAAATCAAGTCTATCCTGCGGAATAAACATTCTCCGGCAGTGACGTCTGATGGAGTGGGGAGACCACTAAAGACTTTCTCGGTAAATCCCGTGAGCCCGGGCCATTTAGATTTTTTAAAGTTAAGAAATCTTAACCTGTGGTCCGCGGAAATAAAGTCGGAAGGCCTATGAATCGAAATTTGTATGGTTAAAGCTCCGATGGTAGTGTGAGTATATGTCGCCAGGCTATAGCACTCGCAATTGTTATGTCTGGCGAGCATTACATGTACTATGGTCCGACACACGGAAGGGACTGTGCGGGATACTAGGAGCTGCTGGGTAGCCTCGCACGGTGCTGAAGGCACTGCCGTGAAGGCTGGGAGCGGATTCGAGCGCTGGCAGCATGTGGCCAATAACTTGTGGACCACTCCCTATGTGTCTTGATGCCTGAGCAGAAGAATTGCGAGGTGTTGCTCCATTGGTGAACTATATCAATATATCGTGATCGTTAAAAAATTTTCGGGGGTCGTAATTAAAAGGTGGTCTTTCACCCGAGGCCTTCGTTCGTTCATCACTGAAGTACATTTTTTCATGTTGGGGGTCAGAAGCGCAGAGGAATCTGTGAAAGTTGATCTTGTAACGATTGATTTTGGTAGACCTTGTGCTTGGTATTAGAGAAATTAATAAGTATTGAGTTTGATCAGTATAGTTGAAATAAGATTGAACACCTCCTGCTAAAATAAATTGTATATAATTAAAATTTTTGGATGTGGTACCAATCAGAATGTACATTTTACTGTCTCTGCCGCTTTCAATTGCAGTTAACGAGATTTTGCAGTTGTGTGGCCCTAAGGATATAGCCGTACGTGTATGTCCTGTTACCCAGAGCCACTAAAGACTAGTCGCTTCAGTCCGTACAGTTTTATTGTAAAATATTTGTTCAACTCCAATTTTCAATATCACATAGTTTTTAATAATTTTTTATATTTGTACATTGCTAGTTCTATCTATATTAATAAAAAAATTTAATCCTAGTTTTTAACTTAAACATTTTTTTTTTCCTACAGCTGAATCTATTAAAAAAATGTTGGAAAATCTACCACCTAAAAGGATTTGTAAAAAAATCTTTCCTGCTTTGACCAAAACAAAAAAGGCGAAATTTATTACGAAGCATAAAATGTTTAGTAGTCAAGGAAGACTTAGATCCACTCGAGCAAGGCAAATTTCGAAGCTTTCAAAAAACAAAAGGAAGTTTTGTAATCAATCAATTAAAAGCAAAAATCGGATGCATTTAAAAAACGAAAAATTGCTAGTAAAGCGCAAGTCGAAAAATTTGTTAAAAATAGATGAATCTGTAAACACAGTTTCCGAAAATTCAGAAAGAGAGAATTTTCGAAACTTTCAGAATACGAACAATAATGACATTAACAGTCAAAAAATCGTAAACGATTGTAATGATTCTAATATGAACAAATCAAAACAGCCACCGACATCTACCAAGGTACCTATAAATGTTGTAGAAAATGCGGATCAACAAACAAAGACACCAGAGCAAAATTGCAATATAAATACTGAGAGTAGGATTTGTGACAGTTTACGCTCAAGTAGATTGGTACAGCAAACAGAATCGCAAAAAGAGGCACCTTCAGATACTTTAGAAAACTATGAGTGTAAAAGCAGCTTTCAATGCAATGATGGTATTACCTGCAATAAGAAGAGGAGCAAAAAAATTAATGATTGTATTGCGATGCTGACAGGGAAATTGGAAGAAAAACTAAAGACTGAACAAAATTCATTAAATAATGATGAGGCGCGCTCGGAGAAATGTATTAACAGCGGTAGATTAAGCGGTGAAGTAAAACCGCCCAAAAGGAAAACTCTTTCCAGAAAGATAATTAAAGTGGACAGCATATCTAGCGACCATTTGACAGTCGTGACACCAAATATATCTAAAGTATCTTGTCCACCGACAGAAGTAAACACAATCCCTACTAAGGTGGTCACAGTTCCAATTTTGACTACATTGAAATCTACAGACCAAAATAACCTGAATATTAATTACCTTCCAAACACTGAAAATGTAACAATTTTGCTTGAAAATGGTAAATGCCCTGTTATGAATAAACAAGTTACGCCATTCAATTCAGGAAATATGGAAGCGGCTTTGTCTCTATTACCACCGATTTCTTTGGCTTCGTCAAATGCAAATGTGTTGTTACCGAAAAAACCCACAAGTGGTGTTATAGTTGAAAAAACAAAAAAAGCACAACCGCCCGTAGCAAAACCAAATGTGATTTCGGAATCGATTTTACCATTTCCAACACTGCCACATGCTCTTCCATTACAAACTATGAAAGTTAATCCTTCTCCTATAGTTCCTTTGATACAACAAGCGCCGGTTTTACGACATCCAACTCTTCTGCCAACACCTGTAGTTCCTGTTGCACCAATGGTGCCCATGGTGACAGCAATACCGTTGTTCAACTCGGAACCACTGAATCTATCCAATACAAAGAATGAGATAAAACAAAATGTAACTGAAACAATTGGTTTACCTACCTATCGTAGCGGGCTACCGATTAGAAGACAAACGATTTGTGGTTTTGAAGCGAGAAATTTCCTATTTGAAGATGAACCCCTTGACCTTTCGAAAAAATCGAATCCTGCTCAAGAAGTCCCAATTGCAGTATCTCATATGCCCATTACGCATAATATACAATCCATAGATAAGAATATGACTATTGTTCCACACCATGATCTTGTAAATAAACAATTTTATTCTAATTTGGAACTATTGAAGATACCCCAGATTCGGAATCCCGGTAGTTCGAACAGTTGTGAGCCGCCTGTTATTAATGCCATTCCAAAATGTTCATCCAAAAAACGTAGTGGAGTCAAAAATAACAGCGAATATAATTCGAAAAGTGTCGCGACCAATAATTCAAAGTGCAATATCAAAGAAACTACGACATCCAAAAAAGAAAATTTAGCGAAGGGAAAAAGCTCCCAAAAGATGGATGAAGAAGTTATTAACCACATTGATGATGCCATAAACTCGGTTATTAATGCTGTTAAGGCCAGCTTACCCGATAATGATGAAGTCTCCGATGGAAAATCGAATAATATAAATAAGAATCTTAATCATACTCTCCCCGTAGGAAATCATAAAAATGTAAATCAAATGGAGTTTTCCACAAGTTCAAAATTAATAACTACAAAAATTGTTCCATCGAACCTACCATTAGTTAACACTTTCCAAAGTTTGCAAAAGAGGAACGATGAACCACCTAAAAGTGAAGCAAATGATGTTCTTTCGAAATCTTCTCTACCTGTACCGCAAAAGCGTTGCGTGCGATCAAAAACTCTAGATTCGCGTCCAAGTGCTTTAACAACCACACTGGAGAACTTGTCAGATAGCCTGCATTTACCTCAGCAACCAGTGCCAGACCGTAATGTGATTGTTAATAAAGTAGAAATAAATAAAAACGCAAGCAATGTGAAATGTTTACCAGTTAATGATAATTTTTCAGAAGGCATTCTTGACACTCCCATTATAAACTGCAAATCGAAAAATAGTACAAATGAGTTTCAAAATAACGGAACGGTATTGTGCTCTAAAACAAATAATGATTCAAGTGTACCAAGTAAATTACATACCACTGAACAATACCTTTCCATTGCTCCTTCAGAGCTTCATAACAAAACAAAAAAGTGTGTTTCTCCAGTCGTAGAAGCTTCTACAACAGTTTCTATTAATCCGAATGTGATAATAGAAGAAAACATGAGCAATATAAATAATACGTCCTCCGGTTTCCATAGCAGTGGTCAAATAGATAACACTGTTGAGGCAACAAAGAAACAGAGACGGCGACGTAAGAACGAACTGGCTGCTATTGTAGCTGATCAGCTCCTGGAGAGCTTTAAAATAGATAAAGCGCGCCGAGATAATCTGAAAAAGCTGGAAAATTTAGCTTATGAGAAGAGTGAGGATTTGTTCGTTACGGGAATGTTATTAATGTCAAGCACAAAAAGAAATGTAACATGTTCTAAAACTGGTGGCCAATTCAGTTATGAGTTAAACTCTAATAAAAATTCTGAATGCCGTCAAAAGCAAAATCAAAATAATACCAGATCCAACAAGGTGAAATGTAAACAAGAGGCAATTAACAACAGAACTCTCAAGGCTCCTGAAAATGCAATTCCCGACTCTTCGAGCAACAGAGAAGAAAAAAGTATCGTTGGGAAGAAAAGTAAAAGGAAGCAGTATCGGAGCAAAGGAAAACCGTTGGACAATGAAAATATAATTAAATTGAAATCCTCACTTGAGTCATTTTCTATAGGTATAGAAAAACAACTTACAGAATTAGAAGCAAGAAATTCGATTGCCGCTATGAAAGATCCAGAAAAAAAACCTTTAAACACTTCACCAACGTCTATGAAACAATCCATCTTAAGGCCTAGTATCCTATCTGCTAATATGGAACCCAACATAAATATGCATAGAACTCCAAGTATTGAAACTAAAAGTACTGTTTTCAGTCGCGACCCACGACTTAATAAGAATATACATAAAAATAATCAAAATGAATTCCCGGGTACTAGGCCATGTGAAAAGAATTTAGATGAAATAGGTGATGTTGAAGAAGATAATTATCTTACAGAGATAGCTAAGAATGTTAATGAAAAGATTATGTCTTCGGAAAACGAAGAATTCATGTTTGTTAATGATGGATTTGAATTGGCTAATGAACTACAAGATGATTCGAATAGCAAGTTGTATAGCCGTCCCCCAACATCTATGAGCGTTCGCAGTGCTCCCAACTTTAATGATGATCGTTCCAACTTCGGATCTATTTGCGATGAAAATACAAATACGGAAGTAATGGACATGGATTTAGAGGATGAGCTAAGTGTATATACCAGTTACTCACAAGACGTTGGAAGAAGTCGTGGGAGAAGAAGACGTAGAAGAAAAAGTATTTTGTTAAAAAGAAGACCAAAAAAACGCATAATTCGAGATGTTTCAGAGGAAAAATTTGAATGCACTTTATGCAAAAAAAGTTTTTACACAGTAAATTCATTAACAAAACACAATATGACATTGGCTCACGTATCAAAACTGTCCGCACAAGAGTACCTATTATCAAAAGCTTTGGAACACTCGCCAACGACGTCAACACCAAATGTTTCAAATAAAGCAAAGGAATCTATTTCAATGGCTATTACTGATTTAGTAAACCCTGCAGACATCCGGGAAATACACAAAACTAACGAATTGAACCCAAAAATGTTACCTACAGACCAACATCGAGAGCAGATGATCAATAACACTAATGGCAATTTAGCTCAAGAAGTAAATGACAACGTTGAGGGTAAAGACTCTTTTAACAATATGCCTCGCATAAATCTGAATCCAGATGAGAGATTATTCTTCGAATGCTGTAACATTTTAAAAGGTACTGAAGCAGCTGCGGTAAATAATAGCGACGACCATAACGATAGGGCAGGATTTCAGTACAGCTTCCAAGATAAAACTCATACAAGTATAGTTCAAAGTAGCTGTTTAAGATCGTTAGGGGCTGAAATCCCCAAAAGAACTAGTTCGAGGGAACTAATTGCCTGTAAGCCCAGCGTTTCACAACAAGTATTTCGAAGTCCTTCCGTACATCAAGCGACAGTTGTGAATAAAGTTGGGCCTACTGTAACTTCTCGAGATCAGTAAGTATTTAACAAAATATTCTTAATACCCATTTATTATTATTACAACAACTAATCAAAGAAAAGCTGACGCTCATGAACTAAGATTAATTAATTTTATGTCCAACTTTAGGCTTTAAGGGGCACACCTATTGTAATGGTCTAAGAAAAAGGTGATTTTTAGGAATTATTATTAAAAAAAATACTTTATCAATTATTTCAAAATTTTAAGAGTATATTTATGCATGTTTCAAGAATATACAGTGAAATTTTTGAAGAAAAAATTAAATATTTTTTAAGTTATAGTCGATATCCAACGGCGCGAAAAAAAGGTCCATCACTGCTGCAGTGATTCCGTGAAAAAAATCTAAATAAAAAATTCTCTACTAGATAATATTGTCTGTACAATGACCTACGATAAAAAAATCAAAAAGTGACAAAATGACGGCGTTTTAAAAAAAATAGTCGAGTTTTAACTAAAATTTTGGTTGTTTTTGGCTGTGATCGGATCATTTGTTTTTGAGTAATCACTGCAACAAATTCGGAAAATGCTGTTTCGAGAAAAACGCGTTTAGAGATAAAATGATCGTTTTCACGTTAGCTAATGAGACTCTCTAGCTGCCGAGCGACTGCTCTTTAAATTGCTGTAACTCAAAAACTATTTGAGATATCGATTTGAAATTTTAATATGTTATTTTTAAAGGTGTAATCTACCTAAATATGAAAAAAATGAAGATCGATTTTTTTTAAATTTCCACTAGGTGTGCCTCTTAAACCCTAAATCTTTTACTTAGCTTTTTTTTACGCAATTTTTTTTTAGAAATTTTTGAAAATGACATTTAAGTTTAATCACATTATATGATTAAAAACTATAATTCTAGTGCATGATATTAATGTTTTAGCTTTTGCAACAGAAGCTAATTCGCACGTAAGCACGCTCAGATACTTTCGTCTTTACGAAAAAGCTGAACCATCGATTCGCGTCCATATTCGTCAGTAGTATATAATTTATGTCTTTCTTGTGTGTTTTGCATTATAAAACTTATGTTTTAATTAATTTATCAAGAACCCGAATAGGAACAAGAAACGACCGACTGCTTTTATAATCCATTTTTGAGATTGTTCTTTTAGTAAACCATTAAAATAAAATTATTTATAATATGTTCATATAAATATATAATAAATATATATATATGTATATTCCAGCTGGAAAACCAGTTCTTCTTCTCCCTCCCTTAAGAATGCCAATTTATTTTTCTCGAGACAAAAATTCCCCGGAAATATTATACTTAGAATAGGGCTGCATCTTGTAGTTAATGAGGGGCTATTATGTACTAAAGATAGTGTGAAAATTTTAGATTCCGAGATTTTATGGCAACGCGTTTGAAGTCCATTTTCCCTTATAGAGCCGCTTAAACGATTCGGAATTTAACGAGATTTTTGGCGAGAATGTAGTAACAACAGTAGCGATTATGAACCTGCTGAGAATCAAGTGATAACATAAATTGAAATAAATTATCAAAGTGGCAGGACATCACTGCTGCAGAATACTAAGTTCCTATTGGACTTTTGTTGCAAATAGTTCCTTGTACCTTTCCGTCAATTAAACATTAGTGGAGCACAAACAAATGCTCATATACATTTGTATGTGTGAGTGGAAATCCATTTCATTTATTACTTTGCTATTCACCCCTCGGCAGGGAATGTAATTCTGATAGGGAATAAGTGCTTCTCATAAAAAACTATCAGCCGTCGGTGGCGGCTTAGTATAAACTATAGGTCCCTCCATTTGTTGGGAAAACATCAAGACGCAAAACCCACACGAACAATTTATATGTGTGGAACCCTACGAATTAACAAAAATGAAAATTCTCGAGCCGAGTCTTTCACTTTGAAATCATGTTTATTATATTCGCCATGACAATGTTCGCTCGTGAAAGTTAATCTTCTATTTAAGTGGCAGATATATAGACTCATATGTATATACTTACATATGTACGAGTACATATCGCCTTAAAGGCAAGGCTTTAAATTAATGTTAAAACTGGTTTTCGACCTATATTTTCTTTTAGGTTGTAAACTATCGATTTTCTAAATGTGCCTCTCCTTTATATATATATGTATATGTTGATGTTTGATTACAATAATTCACGTATATCAGGCTTTACAAATTAATAATTTTTTTTTGTTTTTTTTTTCAGGCACAGATCTTCTCCTAACTATTCGCCCGTTTCTCAGTTTTCTGCTGTGACCAATGCAACGTCTAGATTTAAAACTAAGGCTGCCATGAAAGGTTATGAGAACATCAATATTGATTTAGCAATGTGCAAGGAAGTAGGAGCTAAATCGATAGCAGTGTGTAAATTGACGGAGTTAGCCGAAATTGCGTTGGGAAATGAGAAATCGAATAATACAGAATTCACTTCTATATCTAATCAACCAGAAGGCTCAATATTTCGCCAATTACCGAGCCGGGAATTTGTAACATCTTCCGTTGCTGTAGACAATCCAAGACAGACAAGCTGTGATGACGGCAATCGGGAAAGAATAAAAAATAATGAAGTACAAAGTTCTACCTCTTCGAAAACGATAATGCATTCTTCGAAAATAAAATCTGTAGCTGAAGAAAATAGTAAAGAGGCCTGTAGAAAGATTGTCATTCCGGAGAGACCGTTCAAAAATATTGGCTTAGAGGAAAAAGAAACAATCACCTTTCAAAAGCCCAAAACTTCAATTAATTTACTGACCGATGATAACAGTGTTTCGATAACTAGTTATTCTGATCGCGATGATTTTGATTTTGCTTCTTTGAGTTGCGATGATGAACCCAGCACAAAAGTCAACAAAGAAAAAAGTATCAAGGATAACTCGGACAGTAGTTCCAGTCGCGCAACTGCCAAAACTTTCGAAAATAAATCTCTCATTATGGATCGAATATTTAAGAATATGGGTACGAAAGCAAAGAAAACGCAAAACATAGGTATTCAAAAAGATCATTCCTCAAAAGCTGACATTAATCAACTGTTTGATGAATTAAGAGGCGATTGCGGACCTAAGTCGGTACGATCATCCGAAAGTATATCCAAAAAGAATACTTGTTTAGAAAGTTTTGAAAATGTGCAATTTAAACAAAGACAAACCAATGTCCAAAACGAACAGCCACTACCAAATAATAGTGGCTTGAAAGAAACACGGAAGAAATCAAATGTTAACGTAAAAAGTCAAAAAGAGATAACTAGACTCCAATCAGAGCTGGGTATGAGCCAAGAAGAGGTAGTCAAATTGATTAACGAAGGGCAAAGAAAGTCAAAAAGACGCTGCGCTACAATTAGACCGAAAAAATTAGTTGAAATGTGGAGCTCCGATGAATATGAAGAGTTTTTGTCAACAAAAGATATAATTGCTCTTATAGAAGAAAAAGAAAAACAAGAAACACGAAAAAAACGCAAAGTGGGGCAGCAATTAAATACATGTAGCAGCAAAAATAATGAAATTGAAATTCCTAAACCAATAACGGACAGGCGAAAAAGTGTAAGATGTATAAATGAGAAAGAGGAACCTGTGGCTGCTTCTTCCGAAGTGTTCAAAAAACGATGTGGTAAAACGAATGGCATTACTAAACCGCAAAGTAACCGCATATCCATGAAATCTTCCGAAAGTAAAGAAAAATATTCCCGTTGTTGCACAATGGATGAAAGCGGCATCAAACTAAAAAATAGTATTAGTAGAGAGTTAGACCATAAAATTGTTAATCGTAAAAAAAGGTCTTTGAAAGGTAGTTCCGAAACTGTTGTATCGAAATCATTAATATTAGAGAATGGAGATAAAAAGTCATCTAAAATGGTAACTGCAAAGTGTGCGAAAGATATGCAGCCGGAAAAAGAGAAAAAAACAGACTATTTATCTAAATTGAAACAAACCAATTGTAGAACTAGAAGCAGTAAAGAAAGAAAACCGACGGAATGTAAAGAAATCGTTAAAAATAGTAAAACAACTGAGGAGCGTGTTAGTGGCGCTGTGGAAAATAAGAAGCACATTGATGATAATAACCATACGCATAAGAATAGGAGAAGAAATCAAACGAATCCATCGCCACCACGTCGAAAACGTTTGGCGTCGGAAAAGCTGTACTACTGGTCTTCATCAAGTGATGAAGATTTCGGAAAAATTAATTCAACGTGTGCGCCGGAGTTTGATGGTGGTGAAAATTATCAAAAGCACGGATGGATTGTTGGAGATTCTCATAAAAAATTAGTGACTTTACTCGCAATAGCAAAAGGAAACAAAAAAGTCGATAATAGTTGTGGGGTGAAGAAAAATAATAGCAGAAAAAAAATATGTTAAATAAGTATGTAAATATGGAATTTTAAAATTAAGATAGTATTATGTGTATAACGGATTTTTTATTAAGTATATTTTTAAAAGTGAAGCCTAGCTTATGGTAATTGCAAATAATGTTGAATTTAGTTTAGTTTTTGATTTAATAAATATTTAAAATATCCTTATAAAATGCAAATTAAATAAGAAACGAGTATTTTTTGACGAGCTGTTACCAATTATTTAACGTAAGTACATAATTTCCTTCCTTCAAACTTAATAAATTAATCATTTCATGTCACAATTGAATTTATCACGACAAAAAATAGTTAGGACACAAAAATATGCCACTCCTGACTCAAGTACAAATCGATTAATATTTCAAAATCCTAGGTTCTGCAATGCAATGTTTTGCACAGCTAATCATAGGTGTTGCCTCCTCAGTCAAACGGTAAAAAAAAAACTTCACATCCAGTTTGTAAATTCTGCAAAATCAATCTAATGACTATGTATAAATTGTCCAAGATTGAATTGACGCTCAACAACTTATTACATTTTTTCATATTTTTTTGTTTTTAGAATTAACAATGTTTTCAACAGAGTAGCCATAGATTTTATGTCCCTGTCGAAAACGCATCTAACGAGGAAATGCAATTTTTCTCATACCAGAGAGCATATTGCAGCATTACAAAGTATTTCCAACTCATTCGCAGAAATTCTGCTATCTAAGATATCTCCTTTTTACTCCATCGTAACAAAGTGATACCAGAACTCAAATTCTTTTTTCGTTAAAAACATGTTATTGCACGTTCACGTTCACGCCCAGTGGTTTAAGTACAAAATTTCACTCGTTCCAGATGAGCGCCGTTCGGAGGCGGCTTAGTATTGTATAAACTGTAGGTCCCTCCATTTGTTGGAAAAACATCAACCACATATTGGAGGAGGAGCTCGGCCGAAAATCGCTTCAGCGGTTACAAAGCGCCATTTATAAGCACTTCTGATCTTGGTATTGGTAAGAATCGTCGAGTGAGCTACTCTGCCGTTTCTACCCGATGTGTGTTGTGTGTGGAGCATTTCTCAAACTTTCACTCAGATCACGCATACACGCACTTTCTTTTACATACAGCTACTTATATGTGAACTCTTACTATCATACAAAACCCCCTCGGTGGGCCTCTTCAACCATAAAGGTGGTGCTCCCAGAAAGCAGGTTTGGATGTTTGTTGTGGTTGCGGCTTTTCGACGTCGAACCTTCTTTTTTTGTTGACCGGCGTTCTTTGATCACAGAGGCGCCTGCATACATAGAAGACACTAGATACATGTCTTCCGTCTATCACGACATGATCGATCTGGTTGAGAGTTTTTCGATCTGGTGATAACCAAGTATTTTGTTTTCTTGTGCTGTAATCTAGTACTACAGACAACGTCGATTAGTCTTAACCGTGGAGGCTGAATTTTACAACAATTGTGCCGAAGATAGCTTCTTTGGTCACCCTGGTGTTGAACTCGCCAAGCACAATTTTGCGTTCCTTTACATGGCCGCTGTAGTATCTTTCACAAGGACCAACATTCCATCCCTGCCCCGTCCATCACTCTTCTTGAACGGCGGTGATATCAGCCTTTAATCTTATTAGGACATCAACCAGATGGGCAGCGTCATCTTCCCAATTAAGCGACGGACATTCTAGGTGCATGCTCTGATGCATGATGTGATCATGATCCTTTAAACGTTTGCATTTTTTGTTGTTTTTTTCATTGAGGTTATTTTTTCACGTGTTGGGTCCCAAACCCTTTGTACAACCACTTGGGATGGAACAGATTTTGGTTGGATACCCAGAAAATATTTGGTCTAAGACCGGAAGTGGTGAGCTGCATGAACCATACGCAAAAGAATTTTTTCTAGCCACTCCCACTTTCCTCAATTGCGTGAACACATGGTCCCATTCTCCAATTCGCTGACGACTAGTATTAAATTCTGAAAGTATTAGTTTTTGTATTAGCAAAATTGTTTACGTTTTTTTTTATCATTTATTAAAAGTAATTTATTATTATTAATTTTACTTTTTTTTACATAAACTCAAGATAATTTTTGAGTTAGAAAAAATATATTGGAAGCAAAGAGGTCTTATGGCCCTCGCCTTTACGTGGGCGTCAGGCGTTAGGTTTTTTTAGATAGACATCACCCGAGCAAGGGGTTTTTTTAGACTGGCCATTAATTCCATCGAGGATGTTGCAGCTATTGGCCCAATGATAGAGAGTCCCGTAGCACCGGGACAACTCCAAACCATGACTTGTTCGTGATGAAGACACATATTTCTGTCCAAAGGAGGGTGGCTGTAATATCGATGGAAACTATCCTCAGATGCTGGCTAAGCAGGATAAGGAATTGCGGACGAGCCTTTGGGAGATATAATATTCCATTGCGGCGACACTTCGGAAGGAGATGTAATTATGTTAAGTATAGACAAGGACCATACTAATTTCTGAAATTGGTGGCAAACACGCTCGCTGCCTGTTCTCTACTGATCCATTCCGAACTGGGCACCATTAGGTGTTGACAAAACCTTTTCAGAGGAACGATGTGGTAGAGACATTTGGGCAACCCGTTGACTGTGGCAAAGGAGAAACGTGTAGATGTTCCAACCAAATCTAGGTTGTTGGGACATCGTGATAACAGCGACGCGAGGGATTAACTTCTTAAACGTAAAACGTGTTTGTCATGCATGGCAACCTCGTTAGTTTAGGAACACTGTACTCTTTTCAGTAAAAGATGTTACAGTGGTGAAGCTGACAAACCACCCACTGTAGTAGAAAAAATTACAGAAAGCATCATAGACGCATTTGAAAAACCTTTTCTCTTACGCAGGGCCGGTTCTGCACTAGATAAATCTTGGATGACAGCTGAGCTAACAAAAAACATAAGAATGAACTGTAGAAGATCCTTCAACAAAATCAAACGCTTTAATAACGATAAGCGCTGGTATGATTTCGTAAGTATAAATATAATCTAATGGAAATAAAGCGCAATTCGTGGCGGCTCTTCTGCGTATCAAACAATTTTTTTGATATTCACGGACGCAGAACCACAAATTTAGAAGATCCGATGCGGATTTCATTGAATACTTATTTTCCGCAACTTAATACCACCATACCTCAATACCCTCAATCATATGGGCGGGTATGGAACACTCCTTCGACATTGAAATGGTGACAAGAAATTTCTAATCAGTCGGTACCGATGGAATCTTTCCTGCCCGGGTGCAAAACGTTTAAGATCTGTTGGCACAAAGACTTGTTGCGTCGTTTACCGCGTGCATTCGATTGGAAGACACCCCGTTCAGATAGCAAATTCTAAGGTGATTTATATGACAAAGCCTGGTAGGAAGGACTACTCGGTACCGAGATCCTATAGACCAATTAGTCTCACATCCTATTGAAAAGTATGGAAAAGATTTGTGACGATTGGATAAAACAATAAATATGCCCAGAGCGGCTGTCATTTAGATAGCAAACATACATACGTCAAACGTAAATCATTTGATACCGCTCTACATAAAATATTTGAATAACTGAAAAATTTATATTTAAACGAAAGTACACATACATTACGGTATTTATTGACTTAGAGGATGCTTTCAACATTGTAAACATTACTGTACTGATCTCATTAATTGCCTCTTTTAGATCAACCGCAACTTACTTGCCTGCTTGAGTCTTGAACTGCTTACAGCCGAAAACCTAAAGGCAGTGTGATATGGAAGAGACAAGGACTCCCAGTAAACCTGTAATAATCTGAAATCTGATACTTTGCTAGAAAGACGAAAGTTCATCAATTCAACCCACCATCTTTGTCTTTAAGAGGTAGCTCTGTTAAATATCTCGATGTAATTCTTGGTTGAAAAAAATTTTGCTAATGACCGTGAAAAGCTTCAGATCTGGCATACCTGTAGAAGAGATCTTGTACCAAAACGTGGCCTAAGACCTTACAAGAAGCATTGGCTTGACACAAGTGTCACTAAAGGAGTACCGCATAAAATCCTTTGAAGCGGTACAATGTACCTGTCTACTTGACATATCAGGGGCAAGAGGCGTTCAAAGCAATAGGTAATTATACTATTCGGGTTTCATTATTATTTGTTTATTTAAACCTTTCTCAGCAAGTTAATAGCTAGATTACCATTTAAAATTCATTAAATTCTTGTATCTATTGTTATGTTAAGGCGGGGCGGTATTACAAATATTAAGTGAAAAAAGGGCAACTAAAATAAGGCGGAGTGCAATGTAACAGGTGGTGGAAGGTATAGCCAATAGCACTTTGCTCACTTGAAGATGATGTGTCCGGAAATAAGGAATGCGTCCAGCTACGTCCACTAGATTTGCTTGTGATGAAGAAGAGCAAGGACAACACAACCGCTTGAGCCTGAATAAGTAAAAATGAAACTTTCGTAAAATTATTTCATTGAAAAAATTACTCATCTCATAAAACACCATTTGTATGCAAATAGCTGATGCAGAAACGTTACGTGGCGTGACAAGATGTGATTTCGACGTCAACAACGCCAACCAAAATAGGGGTGAGCTTGAGGAATAGGTACATTGTTGAGCTATAACATAGGATATTTCTTCGCTTTTATTTAGAAATTATTATTAATTTGTCCATATTTTGGTTAACTTTAATATGAGATTTTGTCAATTAAATAAAGATGTTGTCATGGATGCAATGGGACATTTATGCGGCTCAAAAAGCATCACCATCCGCAAAAATTGTCGTGATGACTTTGTCCCAATTACCGCTGAAGCAAAAAAAATCTTTATTCTAAGCCGCCTCCGAAGGATCGATGAATTTATATAAAAAACACTTTTTTTCATGTCGGAAATACCTTCGAATAACAGTTGTTCTGCCTACAATCCACACTACCTCACAATGGTCCACTGCTTTAAGAAAATATTTGAAGGCGCTGCTGTACATCCGCCTTTTCTTTGCCCTCTATATCCGTGTGACACGTGATTCAAGAGATTTTCACTGTGTATTCCCTCGAAAGGCTGTCAATTGCAACTTTGCATGCTCTAAGCATTTGGACTTTGTATTGCCACACTCAAAGATGCTTCCTCAAGTTGAGTTTTTTCATATCAAGGACTACACCAAGATACTTAACAGAGTTGGAGAGAATTATAATGCTATATTTTAAACACTCTTAAGGTTGGTGGGTTGAATTGATGAACTTTTTTTTCTCGTAAAAAGGCAGATATTCGATTATTCCGGTTTACTGTGAGTCCTAGTCTCTCAACCGATGTCAAGCGCCCTCTCTATTACCCGCGATAGTCGGTTGGAATGTTTGCCAAAGAAAGGGTTACAAGATCATTCGCATACCATAATATCTTTAGGTTTTCTGTTAAAGGCAGTCGGAGTAAATGGTTTAATACCGCTTAACATACAGCTCGACTATTGCTTAACATATGGCATCCAGGCAAGTAACTTTGGTTGCTCTCAAAGAGGAAATTGACGAGATCAGTACGGTAATGTTGACATTGTTGAAAGCACCCTCTAAGTCAATAAATACCTTAAAGGTGTACTTTGACCTTTTCAGTTGTCCAGATATTTCATGCAGATCGGTATCAATTGATTTAGGCTATTACATGTAGATACATTGGGATCTGAGAGCCTTCGATGTTTATTATTAAGTCAATATACCTGTGATCAGAAAAAAGTGTTCCAAAGAGATCCTGATCGCGATGTGATGGGAGTTGGCCACTGCCTCTATAATTAGTTTGCATTCCAGCTTTTTTCGCTTAGTCTGCTATCTCAGTCAGCTCTTCCATGGGAAGCAAGGCTGATATAGTAATGGCAGAAGCAGCGAGTGGCTTGTCAGCTTCACCACTGTAACATCCTTTATTGACAGATCTACTAACAAAGAGAAATTATAGTGTTTTTTGCAAACAATACAAGCCCTTGGTCTGGGCCCAGAATTTTGCATATCTGATTTGGAAGTGTCAGTGCCAGTGACATTTCCACGTTTTTCCTTTGCCGCAGTCAACGGGGTGTAATGGACTACCCACCTCAGCTGCGGTATCACCTTCTCTACAACACTGTTCCCCTCAGAAGGGCACGAGCAAGAAGACATTCCTCCTAAGAAAGCTTGTCGCCACCTGCCAGTGACCAGTTCTGAACTTAAAAGTATAGAAGGCTACCGATCACAATTACATCTCCTTCAGGAGCTCCGCAACGATGGAATACCTCCCAAAGACTCGTCCTCAGTTTCTTATTCTGCTTTGCTAGCATCATGCGGATGGGTTCCGTCTATATTCTTCAGTAGCTTGAGGACCTCTTCATCACGGACAAGTCGTGGCTTGGAGTTATCCCACAACTCCGGAAGACTCTCTATCATAAGGCGGACAGCTAAGATGACCTTGCCTCATTAGAAGCGGGCGTTGTCTATCTGAAAAACAGACCTGCTGCTTAGAAGCAAAAGTTCTCCGGATCACCCAGCGATAATAATGACGAGTATATCCTGCAATCTCTGGTTCCTGAAACTGCGTTTTGCTCGATTTTGCATCCTCAGTTGACCGTAAGTATTTTCCTGTCACTAAGGGTTTTGCGTCAGTCCTGGGTTTAGACCTTGGGTCATTATGCTAGGTTGAAGTTTAACTTAGGTTGCAAGGTGGACGGATTTTCAGAAAGAATACCACTTGTTATCCTCGTACTTCTCGATACGTCTACGTCAAACCGTCGTCCTTTTGCAAAACGGGTGAAGGACGGCTACGCCGGAGGTGGTAGTTAAATAATGATTAAGATTAAACTAGATATTTTAGGTGTGGAAAGATATCAAACAAACAGCCTGTTTCGTGGACCTCGCGTATAGTGACTGTAATGACTTAGATTAGCTACAATAGCGACTAAATAAAAATAACAGAGCATTGTCCCTTGACATCGATATTCCGGGCAAATGTTGTTTCCGGTACGTGCAGCCTATACCCTCTACACAAATAAAAAAGAAGCTCATTCTTTTTCAAGATTTTAAGGAATAAATGTTTTATTAAATACTTTGAAATGCACAGATATAAAGCATATTTTACGTGCAATTTTGTAAGCCATTTTGTTATAATAATGATTAATAAACATCCTCACATTATTTTTTTTTAAGAGTAAAGAATGATCTGCGTTTTGGTTCATCTTTCTGTGAAGTAGCTGGTAATGTTTGGGATCTGCTCTCTGCAACAGTTGTCGAGTCACTCTGGGCCTTGAGGGTAATCACCCACTGAGACATTTCTTCATCATCATGTGCTTGTAATAAAAATTCAGCACCTCCGGAAAGTCTTGAAACATAGAATATTTGTTGTAAAAACACAATAAATAATTAACAATTATTCTTACTTGATTCGTAAAACATGTTTCTTTTTGGTATAATCGGTGGCTATTTGAATATTTGCACCTTGTAAATCATAACTTGGCTCAGAACGGAAAGTTATTTCAGGATTACTCCTATAACCCTTTTGATCTTTGTAGAATGACAACTGACCCACTTTTGCAACAACGTAAACCTGTAAAAGAAAGAATATGTTTTTAAGAAAAATTCGTATGGCACTCAATATTTTAATAATGAAACTGCCCAGGATTACAACAAATAAGTTAATATTATATCTTATATTTCTAGTAAATTCGGCCTATTCAGCACTTCGACTCGAATCGAAATTTTCTAAGTTCGAAAGAATTTGTATTATACGTTCCGTTTCGTTTCGTTCAATCCTCGACACTTACGATTGCATCCAATGCAGTCTATTCTGCATTTCAATCGTAGTCACGACTTGCTAGGATACAATTTATTTGGTCTCAGCCTCCGAAAGCTTATGTGTGCGAAGCTTGATTAAGAAATTTTTAGTCATGATGATGTTTCCTTTAAAATTTATGCCGCTTTTTGATAAAAGATTTGGCTATTGTAAAGGCAGTCGAAAGATATATTTCCAAAGCTCCCATAGGAAGAAGTGAAGGGGTTATGAAGAAGCGTTGCTCATGCAAACACTCCATACTCCATGACTTCGGCATAATTTAATAGTGACTTTGACATTGTTGGCTGCTATTACAATTTGCGCCTACTCCAATGGCGGTAACTGCCTTTTGCAAAAAATATCAAATTATATTGCAAAGTACTTGATCGAATTTCTTCCGCTAGACCATTTCATTTAGTACATAATCTTCTATCCTTTGAAGTTTATTGTTTTTTTTTGAGTCTAAATAAGTCTTGCAATTAGCTGCTGGAATACTTTTCATCTCAACTCTAGCCACACGACGCGTGGCGACTATTGATTCCATTGTTGCCATTATGAAATAGTTTGTTCTTTAAGTAGCAACAGTTTGCGCCTGACTACGAAAATGTCTGCTCCTTTCTTCTATCGATTCTAGCGGAGCTCACAATACCAATCTACGATCGCTGCGGAGCGGAATGCGGGAATTTTTCCGATCTAATGCATTTGATTTTTGTTGTATATATAATATAATTTTAAACTATCGCATATTGAACAAAAAAAAAAAGAATAATTGAACTGAAATTTTAGTAGCGAAGAATTGAAAATAAAAATGTAATTTAAATATCGGATAAAGAATTGGTGATATGAAATTTAAATCGGTCTTCGATTATAAAAAATAAATTAAATTAAACTACAATTGTTAACCAATACAATTTTATCTAACAGCTATATACATATATGTATAAGCAATGGGTGGAAAAGTCCTAGACCTAACAAAAAAAAAAAACCGTTTCGAATTCATTTCAATACCATTTTTATAGTTTTGTTTAGGTCAACACTTAGCAAACGCAACGTCCTGATAATCAAAATCGCATATATAATATAAATCCAACTCATTCTTTTGATCTCTTTACGATGTTATCTAAATCATACAACTTCTCATTTTGATTTTGTGAATTTTTTTAATGTTAACCGGTCATATCGTTCTTTTGGATGTCTGTTTCTTTCTGCTTTTTCAGCGTATCTAGTTCAGTTTTCAAATTTAATGTAAAAGATCACGCGTTTATATAACTAATATGAATGGTATGGAATAAGTATTGCATATTCTTGATATTGCTTGATATTGTAATATAATTGGCACTACATTACATGTTAAAAGTCTTACCTTGTCCCATGACCTATTAGAGGCTTTTTTCGTGGTGGACTCCCATTCATGTTTTCGTGTAAGATAGCCTTCCTGTCCCTCACCAGCGGATATAGCAATATGTTCTGAATAGAGAATTATTTATATATTCATTAATATTTATGTTTATAAAAGCACTATTAATCAATATAAATTTCTTTCAGTGTTTTCATATTTTTTACTTCTGAAATAATTTTTTCATTCGATATGTGATACATAATTGTTGATTAGCGCAGCATATGTTACCTAGACTAAGCGAATACCCCTTATATTTAATATGAAAATGGGAAAAAGAAAGTAGATATAGAAGAGCATAGAGTAGTTTTTAACAGTAGCTAAGGTGTGTTCTCAGTTTCTTTCTGTGAGATCATTTTTTCGATACAGCAGTTTTCTTCTTTTTTTTTTATTTGGAAAGGCGGACAATTTTTTGTTTCTAGAAGCGTACCAATCTTTGCTTCCATATTTTAATTCAAAACCCTCAGCAAGGTCCAAGAGATTTGCAGAGTCGTAACAAAAAAAATTCAATCTACGCAGTGCTCCCCTAAAAAATCAAAAAATGTGTTGATTACAAAGGCAAAGGTAATCCGAGAAAAGTTTTTCTTTACCAATATTTACATACATTCTGCTAAAGGTTTCGGAGGAAGCTCACATAATTAATTGAAAATTATCAGTCACGGCTGCTGCACATTGAATTAAAAAACTGTGATTTTAGATATTTTATTTAAAATAATATTTAAAATGACCTCAAAGACTGCCGGACTCTTGCAATGGCTTAAACTCCCTCCCGGACATCCCCAAACTCTAAATACTTGGACTTAAATTTACGAGTTAGGAAATGATTTTCTATTTTATTGATAAAAAAATTAAATTAGAATAAGAACTTAGTTATTAAGGTTAAATGAGAAAGGTTTACTTTTTTTTGCTGTTTAGTTCTTTCGAACGCGTAATTTGTATGATGGAAATAGCTGTATAGAAGTAGCGCACTTAATAGTTGTTGGTTAATAATGAATTTAATAATGCAATATTAGATTGCATGGCTGATGTCGGCGCAGTGGTAGAACACTCGCATGTTAAGTCAGGATCCGTTCTTTCGATCAATGCCGTACCTAGTCTGATGAGGAGATATGGTGATCTCTGAAACTTCTACCATTTTCCTTGTTGTATAACAAAAAAAAACTTTAACGGAAAGGTTTTTATTTTGTAATTTTTAGTGAGTATAATGTACTAGTTCCTAAATGCCTAATTTCTTATTTTTAGAATTCACTACGAAGTACTAAAAACTGTGTGGGACCTATTTTTCCTCCTCATAGAAGTTTTTTTTTGGATAGAACAAACATGAAATTACTACGAGTATCCAATAAAAACGAAATTATCAAAATCAGACTACGTGGTGATGAGAAATGCCCCGATATTAATATACGACCTCCATTGAAATAAGAATTATCAACTGCCACTGACATGGCATACGCCGTCTAAACAATAATGGATAAATACATAATAATCGGATGAGACTTCCGATTATTATATATGTTTTGGTCTTTTCCAAATCACTCTTCGGACACTTATTGATCTTCGATCTGTGCAGTTTTCTTGTTGCCTTGTGAGAGCAATTAGAGAGAGATTAGAAAAGTGCCACCGATTCATTAATTTCTTCATGGGTCATGACGATATTTTTACATTGATGGTGTATGTAATGGCCGCCATACCTCAAAAGCCTTCTAGTTCATTTTCTGATTATAAAGACTCCATTCAAGTCCGCAAAAGGTATATGTAACAAGTAATTTCTCACGTCCTTAGGCTATTGCCGAGGAAGAAGTCGAAAAGTTCGCAACTGAATATTTAATACCATTCCGGATCCAATTGAGTGTTCGTGTGCTTTGTTGTCTGGATAAAGCGTGTGGTAGGTAGAAATTATTATTTTGACAAAGTATCATAGTTTTTTCGGTGATGTGGGTTTCAGCGAGCAATAGTGTATCAACGATATATATACATATGAGGTCTGGATGAATATCATCAGTTCAAGTAATTGTTTTGAAAGACCATTTTCAATCAAAATCCCAATCTAGTACTAAGGGTGACGAGTACATTAATCATGATTGTGATTTACTTGATTCAATGAAATGATCATTTCCTCATTGTGTTTTGGGCATGTGATGGGCTTTCGTTATTTTGTTGATTACCATTGCTGGTACTCTTTAGAGGACTTTTGTCGACCTGCTATTTGGACATCTGGGATTGATTTGAGTTTATTTATCGCTTTGGTGTGATTGACTCTTGGTGAACTTCGATTCATGACAAATTAATTTAGGTGTGGCTTCCTTCGTTCTTATGGGAGGGTATTGGAGCTTTTAAAGATTTTTATAAACGCAGGAACCTTTATAATTTACTGGGTGAATTCTTTCGAATAAAGCGTTCAATTATCAGATCTGCTCTTTCGCTGAGATTCTGCCGATAAGTGAACTCCAGTGCAGATATTCGTATGCTTTTACTTCACAAATAACTTTGTTGTTGAAGCGCCAGTTAAGTTCAGAGTCTCAACGAAAGAGCAGATCTATTATAAAGATGCGTAGGGGCTTCTTCGTTACTTTACGTTTTAGATTCAAAATTTTCGCAAACATCTATTGAGTTTGCGTCGTTTTTGTTGTTTTTGCATTAGGGCTTTGTCGTGACCATTTTATAGTTTTCACTCATTATCTTTATTAGTTGCGTAGAGTGAATGTGGCCTTCTCGCTGTATATCAGTTGCAGCTTCGTTTGCAAGTTCTAATTTCCTGTTCTGCGGCTCGTGGACCATTAGAGTAAAAAAAGAGCTCCAAGTTAATTAAAACGAGTTTACCCGAATATTTTGCTGCTGTTCGAAATTATCTTGTTGTTGTTTCAAGTTCTACTGCTGAGTTTTTTTTGGGTATTTAGCATTAATGGATTTTGACTAATCTTCAAGGTAGCACTTCATGCTTTGGATAACCCTGTGTCGAGTAATGCAACCAGCTTCAATGAACAAGTGTGCGAGTGTTAATTGCTTAAATACTCGGTCGACTCTAAAATCGACCGGGCTGTTGTGTAGGATATTAATGTAGCTAAGGAAAACGTCATAGTTGTTATACATAAGTATACTACAATAACTCAAATGCATTTATGTATACATATACAAATACATCATGATGCCAAATGCCACAATCCATGTTTATTATCATACAAATTGCTGTAAAAAAAACCTATTAAAAGCAAAAATTATTGCAAATTCTTATAATACAAATGTATATGAGATATACCACCACATTCACTATATTACAACAACATTTTGTTGGCCTATTATGTGATACATTTTTAAACTTCATTAATAAAAATAAGATATTAGTTTTCACAACCCACTTTACCTGTTTGTGGTTCTATAGTGCGTTCCAAATCAATAGCGGTAGATACTACTTTTTCCGCGAAAGCAAAAGCATAAAATTGTTTAAATTAAATGTTAGTAAATATACATATGTTTCATTTATATATTTATATATAAAGAAATAAACTAGCCATCATAACAAATACCAATTCTTTTCCATTTATATTTTTTTATTAGTAATACAGGTCTGCAAAAAAAATATTGTTTGCATGTTTTCCAAGTATTCAAGTGCTCTGAAAACAAAAAAAAAAAAAACTCAATGGCTAAATTGAAATTGTGGTGACTATCACGCCGCCGATACGAAGCTTACTTAGTAACGTAGGTTATGCTCAAGGTGATACCCACGAATATGGAAATTCACCTAAAACTGCGGCAAGGATACGGCTTCTGGAGACCCAGCCAGGGAAACCACGCTCCTCAAATTCAGAAACACAACACCAACAATGGAAGTGAATCTTACCAAAAGGGCTAAAAAAAAACACTTTGAGTGGGCACTTGCACCTGACACCAACCAAACTGCTAGAAGTGCTATGCGGGAAATGAAAGTATAACGACGACAGACCGGGAAATTATGAACAAAATATATTGGTAACCACCTTTGGCCTTTAATGAGCATAATGTTTAATGAAATAAATGACTCATGTTAACTGACGTGAATTTCTTCGCAAAGATCGATGTCATTGTTAACGAAAAGACGTTATTATGTGTTGTTTACTGTGTGCAGTCTACATCAAAATTAGCTCTTCTATCTATCCACAGACTTATTGTTATTTTTTTATGCAGCTCATCAGTCATGTGGGTATGCCGAAACGTAAAATATTCCAGAAATAGAATGACGTTTCATACCCCCGCTTTTGGGCAGGGCGTGTGAGAGGCTGATTACCCCGAATCAGTCTAAGAGAACGTAGTATAGGAGACAAGAGAGTTGCCGTACTTCGGTAAAATTGTAGGGACACAACGTAACTAGCAAATGAGTTTTGTAGACGGTAGGTAAGGAAATATTTACAGTGCCAAGTCTTTGAAAGAAATGTGAGAAATTTATCGGCATACACCACTTCTTCGCCTCGTCAATTTTAAATATGTCTTTGACAGCACGAGAAGGAGCTGCCTCTGCCGCTATGGCCCGAAAAACTGATACTGAACAACAAAATCACCGTCAGAATCGAGAAGAGCCGTACGATACTAGTAATAAATTTTGCAGAAATGTTGACACTTTATCGTGTGACTTCTTTAACTTAATGCTAGAGAGAATAAATCGAACTGAACGGCTAAACAGAAAAAGTAGTATGCAACTTCTTGCATATGCGAATGACGACGATATTAATCGGTTTCAACAACCACGCCGTTAATTTTGTATTCTCCAGACTGACGAAATATCTCCTGTGATCATACAAGCAGTCAGTCTTGTCTCTCAAATAATTATTGGCATTAATAACTTTAAAGCCACAGATAATTTTGTCTAACCTATAAACAGCATGAACACCCAACAATGTCAGCTTTGAAATCCACCGCAGAATCACTCTTGCCAACAGCTGCTTCGCTGCACTAAGTCCACACAACGAACAAAACATAACCCCTACAATTCGCCCATTATTCCCATGGCAGCGACAACGTAGCCCTTTTGGGTGCAAGAGAGGAAACGAATGGCACACTGTTATTAACTAGATTGTAAAGAAAATAATGATTGATAGCTACAGAAGTAGCAGAGGATTCAAATCCTGGACAGACTAATTTTAAAAGTACACAAGTGGGTACCGCATATAATAATTTCTAAATTAGCCTGTTTTTTACAAGACCTAGCCATCACAACCGTTATCTCGTGTCGTATAAAATATATCTCATATAAGTCAACAAGGCAGAGAATAAATCTTGCACCAAATCTTCTTCTCGAAATGCTAACTCATCAGACGGAAATTATGACCGACTTGTAGAGTTTAGCACTTGTTGGCTAAAGTTATTTCGCAATGTATTTCGAAGTCGACATTATAATTCGTATTAAAACTGGTCCCTGGTAAGAAAAATGAGTTTACAACTTTCAAGTTGGGACTGTTAATAGTGAATTAATATTAAAAACAACACCTGCATTTGGTATGAAAATCTGTTTTTACAAAAAAAAAAACAACTTTAAGTGGAATTACCTGCTGATTCTTCAGCTGCTGCCCCAGCATCGACTATATCACTCTTTTCGGCTTCTCGCTTAGCCTGTTCTGCAGCTTCCAAAGCCGCTTTAGCCTCTAGTTCCTCTTTTAATCGCTGTCTTTCTGCTTCCTCCGCTAATTCCTGACGTCTCTTTATTTCCTTAAGCTCGAACTAGAAACATAAGAATATGCGTATGTAATAATCGAGTTAAGAGAAACTATAATACTTTATTATTTTATTTAATTTTTTAAATCTAATATAATGCCGTTGTATCTTTCTTTTGAAATTAATTAATAAAATTAAGAGTTATATATTATTGGCGCTTTGTAACCGTTGAAACGAGTTTGGGCTAATTTCTGAGGTGTGATGTTTTTCCAACAAATGGAATGTTTTGCTACAGTTTATACTAAGCCGCCTCAGAACATTTGATAGTTTTTTAGAAGGAAGTTTGATTAGAAAAATTAACTTAAGTTTTAAATGAAATTAAATTCTATATTGTTTACATGTTGGTCGACCAGATTCCGAAACCCGACTTTGGTCCAGTGTATACATCTATACATATTATAAAACCAAAATTTTGGAGAAAGAAGATGGATATCTATCTATCAGCTATCGGATAATTTTTTACCATATTTTATGCTGCTTGAGTTAATGGTAACCTTCCAACAATAAAGAGACGCTTCCCAACATCAGGAACGGCTGAAAAACGCGGGTTCCTAAGTGATGCAATATTCGCTTATAAAACTACTTGGAGCACTTCCTCAGGGCTCAATACAAACGATGCAACACGGTATTTGTTATATACTCGAAAGATTGCTTTATTGCATGCTTAGATTTTTGCCACCAACAAAATTCCGAGAATTTCACGAAGCTTTCTCACGCACCACCATTTCCAAAGAATCAGTGGAATCAATAAATTCGTTTCGTAACAAAAGAATGGTTATTCCGCAATTTTTAATATTATCTTCAAACCTAACTCCTACAAAAGCCATGGGACTCGATTAATACTTTTATGGGTATCATTTATCACCGTCTTCCCTACTCTTTAACATCCTGTCCCTCCTATTCCCACAAGCCTTAGACAATTAGCGAAATAGGGCGGACGTTTGCAACTTTTGAAAAACGCTTCACATATAACAGATATCTAACTGAGACGGAATGGATTGTAAATCCCTTAAAAAGAATCTAGATTTTATCAGGATTATAAAATATATTAAAAGCACTTACTGTTGTTAAGCGCTCAAGTGCGCTGAAACGTTCTTCTTGGGCAGCTGCAGATTTTTCAAATGCTTCATGTTTTTTTATAAGATTTTCAACTTCGTCGATTGTATGACCCAGTTCTGATGACAAAAGATATGGTTCTTGGGCAATAAGCCAAGCTTCAGCCACGGCAGCATCTCTAGCGAATTGGTATACCTCTAAAACTATAATTGACAAAAATAGTATATTAGAGATAAGCTTTAACTTATTTTTAAATTTGCATACTCAATTGTAAGTTCTCCCATCTTTCTTCCCATCGCCTTAACAAAGCATTTCGACTATTATTCAACTGCAAAAGCCTGTCCTTAATATCTGCTGATGCGTAATGGCTTCTGGCTAACAACTCCTTTCCAAGAGAAATACAAGCGGCAAAGTTATCCTCCCGTGTGTCTATTTCAGCCTTCAGACTTTGGTGATTATTCATAAGTAGCTCTACACCAGATACATCTCTGGGCTTTTCAGATGTGTTCATTTGTCTTACAAGGTCTTCCATCCAAATCATCAATATTCGAACCATATTAAAGAATCTGAACAGGTCTCCAGTATCAGCAAGCTTTTGTTTGCGAGCATCGCACATCGATTGCAAGTTAGCCCATGCATGAAGGACTTCTTGTTCCCGGTTAGTGATTTCCTTAGCTTTGTCACCAGCATACGAATCCTGAAGCTTTGCAGACTCTTCTTGAATTTGTTGCACTTGTGAGTAAAGTGTCATAAGATCCTGCATGAAATTGTGATGTTTTCGTTGCAAAGTTGATACCGATCCAGCATCACGTCCTAATTCATCAGAAACACCATGTTGTTTCTCAATAATACGACTCAATATGTCTTTACAGTCATGGAAGAATTTGTGAAGCTCTTTCGAAGCAGCCAACATTTGTGTACGAGTCTCAATTAGTTCCAAAAGATCTTGCCACGATTCATTTAAATTATCCTTCCATTCTGCAATAGTCGCGGAATCTGAATGACCCGCTTGAATTAAATTGTCAGCAATATTGTTCACTTTAGCAACCCTTTCCCCGCCAACGGCTTCTGTGTCACGAGCAAATTCATCAAATCGTTCGGAGAGCAGTGACACATGATCATAATCTTGTCCAAGCTCTTGCGACCCAGCAACAACTTCTCTATCTGTAATCCATTGCTCCAAATCGTCGACTTCCCTGCTTAACATAAACAACTGTAATGCTTCATTCAAGCGTGCCCTTCGTTCTCCAGCTAAGTCTTTAAGACCAGCATAAAGTTTGTCCAATTGGGATTGCTTAACAGACACGGCATCACCACTGCCAGTGTCTTCTGTGTTAAATTGCCTAGCAATTTCACCTAACTGCCGAATAGTGTTGGCATAATCTTCAACTGATTGCTCTAAGTTTTCATGTTTTTTCATTAAATTTTGCGCACTTATCTCATCTTTTCCGCGATCCTCGACCATCATGTATAACTCTTGCTCGCTCATCCACGACTCAGCCTCTTGTGCATCGAAGAAATATTGTTGTACCTTTTCAGATTCTAAGAGATTCTTTTTACGATTATCAATGGCATCTTTAAGTTCTTGCCAACTTTGTGTCAAATCGCTTATTAGACTCTCGAACTTTTTAGCATCTTCGTGACCTTCATCAATCAATTTTCTGCCATTATTACAAATAGACATTATTCTAGGTTCATGATTATCAATTTCTGTTGCAAGTGATTGATTTTTCTTTTTCAATACATGGACATTGAACAAGGAATTTCCGAAATCTTTCGACGTAGCTAAGGGCAATTTTTCATCAATCCATAACTTTTCATCTTCAACGTCACGGCAGAATTGGAATGCTTCCTTCTTCTTTTCCAGCTGCTTTTGACGTTCGACAAGTGGTGCTTTGATCTTTTCAAATCTATCGAGGACAGCCGTCTTTTTAGTTACAATTGGTTCAATTTTCTCCAATGGTGTTGTCTTTTGTAAATATTCGGTTTGTTTATCAATCTCTTCGACTTGTCGTTCTTTAGCTGCCATTTGGGTTTGAATAACTTGTTGTTTCTGCATAAGAATATTTACTGATGTGAGGTCATTGCCGGTATCTGCATTTACGATTTGCTTCTCCAAGTCAGTAATATAAGAATCAATATCGTCGCAAGTTTGCTGTACCAAAACTTCACGATTTGCGTCAAATAACATTGCACCTTTCTCCTTTGTGTGCACTTCCAGATCTTGAAATTGTTTACCGAGCTCTTTCAATTTAGGGTCTATAATATCCTTGAATTCTGGTTTCTCTTTTGATAGTTCCTCAGCTGCCCTTTCAGCCTCAAATAAACGTTCTTTATTAGCCGCAATCTCTGCCTCGAAGGCTTGGTGACGTGTCCACTTAGAATGAATTGTTTTAGCACTTCGATATGTTTCATCTTGGGATGTTACATATCTTTCCTGAACCCACTCAGCCAGTTCCTCCAGATCTTGTAGAAATTCGTGCAATTTAACTTGATTCTTTAATTTCTCATGCTGATCCAAAGCACGTTGGCGATTATCGTCACGCCGACCAGCAATATTCTCAGCTCTCTTTCCAATTTTGTCGGCATCAAAATGTTCTTTCTCAACAAGAGTATCGGCAACTTGTAACAGTGTATTTATCTTGTCATCGTTCGCCTCCATGGTAGTAAGAAAAGCTTCATGTCGTTTAAGTTGATTTTCAGCTTGCTCTAAGTTAACTGGAGTATCATCTTTACTAAGGAAGTGCTCTTGCTGACTTAATAGCACCTCTGTTTGGCGAGCATCTCTATTAAACAACTGTTGATCAAGACTCTGGGAAAGCAAAACTTGGCGATTTTCCCACATTTGATGCAACTCTTCCCAACCATCTTTTAAGGCGTTCAACCTTTCACGAAGGAACATATACTGTGGGTCATCCGTAGTGTTCGATTCTGAAGTTAAGCGCTCTCCATATTCCATCATATTCTTATAATCTTCAGTGTAGTTATCTATTTCTTCCCGAATAGATTGATGTTGATTCAAAAGTTTCTCGGCCTCAGGCAAGGAAGTTGGTGTATCTTCTGAAGCCACGTCAGTTTGTGTCTTTGTCAGCCAAGTCTGGAAATGATCCAAATCTCGCAAAAATCTATGTAAATCACCTGCTTCTTCCAATTTGGAATCACGTTCCTTTAACATTTGAGTTAACTGCTCCCAAATGAGTTCAATTTGAGAAATTCTGTCCCGAATTATTTGTGCCTCTTCGGGATGATCATTTTCAATACTATCTGCTTCTTTACTTAAGCTTGATAGTTTTGCTTGGATAGCTGCCAAATCTCTTTCCATGCCACTCAATCGTCTCTGTAGAGTCATTACACCGGTTAAGTCCATCTCTAAACTATCGGTTTCTGTCAGAATTCGTTTCTTATCTTCTATCCAAGAAATGGTTTCTCTACATTCAATATAGAATGTCTGTACTCCATGAGCAGATTTAAGGTCATCCATTTTAACTTCAGCTTTTTCACGTAATGTTGACCATTCTTGATTGAGATGATTTTGTCGCTCCAATATTTCGTCCGAATTAGGATGCTCAACATGCAGCAACTGTCTTGCCAATTGATTAACAACAGCAACACGAGAAGCGTTGGAGTTCATTTCCTTATCGAAGCCTTCAAAGCGATGCTTCATTATTTCGACATCTTCAATGTCTTTTCCAGGTGTCATTGTATCTAACATTTTTGTTTTTTCTTTTATCCATTGTTCAACACCATCGGCTTCAGACATTAATTTGTACAAGCTCAATGCATCTAGCAGACGTTGTTTTCGCAACTTAGCCAACTCTGTCAACTCTCTGTACCGTGAATCTATGGCTTCCAACCGTTTAAATACGTTTTCTCTTTCTGTTTCGTTCAATTTCAAGTCTTCCCCTTGCTTGTGAAGAATTTGAATAACTTCCGCATAGTTTTTAAGCTCATCTGCAACATCTTTATGCTTTTTAAGCAACGATTGCACGTTAGCCTCATCACGACCAACATCTTCACTAGAAACGATTCTTAGTGTGTCAAGCATCCAATTATCTATATCATCAGCGTCAGCAAATAGTTGGAAGTATTCAACCGCATTCTCAAGACGTTGTCGTCTGTACTTAGTTAAATCAAGTAAATGATCCCATTTAGATAGAATTTCCTTTAGTCGGTCTTTAATTCGATCAGCTCCAAAGTGTCCTTCTGTTATTAATTCGGCGCCTACTTTAGCAACCCCTTGCAATTGAGGATCATGTGATGATATTTCAGACTCCAACGCTTTATGTTTACTCAATAATAAGTTAACTGTTGTCAAATCGTGTCCAATTTCATCAGTCGATACGATTTGCTCCTTTTCCTTTATCCAATTTTCTTCGTCGGCGGTGTCCCAATGGAATTGCCATAACTTACGACTCTCTTCCAAACGACTGCGGCGTTCCACAGCTAATCGAACCAATTCAGCATAGGCATCTTCTAATTGTTGAACACGACTAACAATGATTTCAGGGTCACATGGCTTATATGATTCTGGATCATCACTTAAGAATTTCTGAGAATTTTGTACTACTACCTTAACGCGTTCACCGAGAATATTTATATCCGCCTCAACAAGAGAATGCTTCTGAAGTAAGTCCTCTACACCCATTAAATGTTTGCCATAGTCATCGGTTAGAAGTAGCTGCCTAATTTCTTCCATATTATCCAAAATATACAGCATTTCTTGGAAGTTTTGCTGTAACTGTAATGATATTTCTAACCGCATTCTACGTGCTCGTAACAATTCAAGCAAATAAGACCACAGTCGCATAACATTCTCTTTACGAAGCAATATGCGCTTAACATCGTGGTATCGTTCTGAATCTAATTCATCACATACAGCGATAACAGCTTGAACACGTTCTTCATAAGCAAATATGTCGGTTTCAATAGCCTCGTGTTTCTTTGCGGCGGCTTCTACAGCTGCTAAATCGAATCCAAAGTTATCTTGGCTAACCAATCTCTGATTTTCAGAAAGCCATGTCTCTCTCATAGAAGCTTTACGATCAAAACGAGCAGCAAGTTGTTCTAACTTCTCTTGACGAATTAATTCTTCGCGCAGTGCTAGCTCGCGCTCATGTTCCGCTTTTTCCAATCTTTCCCAGGCTTTATTTATATCAGAAATCATCTTTCCTTCTTTAGGAGTGTATGGTTTTTGGTTATTTGCACGCATTTTTGATTGGAGAGTAAAAAGCAAAACCTCTAAGTTGCCCTTTTCCACAAATTTAGGTGGCTTTTCTATAGTACGATAGTTCGAAAATTGTGCTAATTGGCTTTGGACACCGGTTAAGGAGTTTTCAAATTCTCTTTCTCCTAGAGCTTGAATAGTTGTTTCGATCCATTTCAACAAATCGCTTGTGAAATTCTCATAGTCATTAATCATCTTATCATTTTCCATAGCTATTCCGACGACTTTACCTATTCTCTTGCCTTGAACAGTTTCTTGCTTTAGTTTACTAAAGTAATGATAGTAGGTTACTACATAGGTAATTATAGACTTCTCATCAGGGTGATCCACAAACACGTCCTCAGCATCAAGCAACTTAGCTAGGCCCAATTTTTCTTCGGCAACGTCAAATGCATTGTTCAAGTTATACAAAGGGTTCGCTTTAGATAATTTTTCGAATTGCACTAAATCGGGGCGATGTTTATGAATTATGGCATTAAATGCCAGTCCATCTCGCCAAGAAGTGGTAAAGTTTCTAACATTTACATTATTGTAACCAGCAGTTTTCATTTGACACCACAGTAGCAAAGCGTCTTTGGCTGACTTAGTCTCTTTGTTGTCAACTTCCTCAATTGTTATATCTTGTATCTAAAAAAAATTAGCAAAGATACATTAATATATATTCAAATATATATAATAACTACTTTCAAATTACTTGGAATCTTAAAATGATGGTCCAAATAAGACCCAAATTGAGAGAAGCGTTTCCGTCCACTATATCATGTGATCCGATATTTTCCAAATGAACCCGTTGCTCACGCAGAAATTGCAACGCTTTATCCACATTTTCCAAACAATGAATCCTCATTTTCCCTTTGGTTGGTTTAGGTAAACGTTCACCAGACAATACTTCAAGCAGTTTTATTAAATATTTTCCATCTCTCATATCAACATATAAATCTCCAATTCTACAGTTAACTCGACATAAATGTGAGTTAACCCACTTTGTAAACGTCTTCTTCTGAACATTTTCACGCTCTTCAGCAAGAGCTTTTATTCGGGAACGTTCAAAAAGACGGGAGCTGGAGTTCCCCCCATCGTATTCGTATTCGTCGATATATTCGTTTCCCGGACCCTGACTAGGGTCCCATCGAACAATAGAAATGTCGGTCGTCATTTTGTTGTTAATTTATATCTGAAATGATTTTAGCAATTAATATACAATATTTTTATGAAACTATAATATTTGTGATAAAAAAAAACGTAATTCTTAAGTTTTACAAAAAAAACGAAGAAATTTATAACAAAGCTCATCTTGAAAAAAAGTTTAAAGCTGTTATTAGAAAAAAAAGGAACCTAAAAGCGTGAAAAAAATTCCAATTCGCCGTGAAAAAAATTCCTATTCGCCGAATATGTGCGCTTTGGCTATTGTAAACCTTAGATTTTTCCATTTTTTTTTTTTTGTGGCTTATCACCATACAAATGTTTTATGAAAATTGGCAAAAATACATAACATAAAGCAATAAATTCGTAACTAATAATTCACGAAAGGATTTTGATAGTACTTGGGGATAAATTATACATATAAGCTTTTTATAATGTTCCGATATCAATTTTTCAATTTGGCAGCAAAAAATCTGCCAGGTCCGTTTTGGTATCCCGTACAGATTCTCATGATGGGATCAAATTTTGGCAAGTGTTTCGTGTTAAAAAATCTTGTTAACAAACATTAAATCAATTTCCGAAAGAACTGAAAATATTATGCTGCGCTTTTTACTCTCAGAAGCTGTCCAAATGATTAGAAGACATAACTGTATTTCTCTACAATTAACGAAAAATCTGAAAAAATCGACGCTTTGGAAAGCTATGGACATAATGAGCAAGTTAATTAATTTGGTAAAATTATAAGTTAGGAAATTTTTTAACGATGAGAAAAGGTTCAGGCTCGACGGCACAGATGGTATAAATGGTTATTGGAAAATATATGCGTAAAGAGCCTCGAAACTCTTTTTTTCAACAAACTATCACTAGCAACCACGTTAGGTGCTCTACAAAATAATGGTTTGCCTTGTGACCGTTAAAGCGATTTTCGTTCAAGCTCCTCCTCGAATTTTTTAGTTGCGTTCTGATGTTGGACCTACAGTTTATTCTAAATCGCCTCCGAGCGGCTGTTGAATCTTTATTGGTCCAAGCTTGGTTCTTTACACAGATTTGGGTCTAAATTTTTTACAATTCTTATATATTTATTTAAATTTGTTATTTTTTTTAATTTCTAAATTTTGGTTATTTAATATTAATATTAATGAAGATAAATTAATTTGTTTTGCGCTTTGGTATAATTTTAGAGGCTGTTAGTATTTTATATGCTTAAAAGTGCCGAGGTTGAACATTAAAGTATTTAAAAGTTATTCCGGTCTCTTTTCCTCAATAAATCAACAAGAAATTCGGAAGCCACACTCCTGGACATATTACACAATGAGGTGTTTTAATTGATTTAGAATTTGACGAAGATTATCATAAAATTTTGTTATGATTATTTTTAAACTGTAATTTATGTTAAATTGTGAATACAAATCATAATACGTGTTTAATAATGTCATCCGTTGTTATGTAATGTGTGTGCGGATGATATAAACATAATGAGAGAATGGAGAAATGTAGCGTATAAAAAGCACGGCTTTATATGAAGACAATGATAGCTGACACTGGAAACTTTTTTCTAATATATATTTAATAAGTGTATGTCTACCGAGCGGATCAACATTTTGTGAGTGTATTCGCGGTCGCATCCCCGCCTCTAATTTAATAATTGTTGGGTAGTTGGTGTTAATTATAATATATGACGTAATTGCATGACCTCTTTTATTATAGTTTTTCTTTAACGTAGCTGAGACCGCTATATTCAGTCGAAAACTGATTGTTATTATTAAAAAAAAAGGGTAGTTAAAAAATGAACAATTAAATGGAGCAACGGCGGAATATTTCATTGTTTTAGTTCCTAAAGGACAAAACATGGGGTGTGGACTCTGAGAAATAATGTGAAATTTATGTTGAGGACTACCTTACAGGACTACATTGGTTTGTTTTCTTTTTGAACTACTACTGGCGGCGATAAAATATAATCCATTAATGAGACTATCTGAATTTTAACAATTCGAGTGATAGCAAAGTAGCTTGTTATATACAAATCAACCGATTGCTTACGCTTACAACAGCTTAATTACGTCAGCAAACTGACTGGGACCCTCCCAAATGTAAAAAAGCATCATAACGATTGATGAAAACTACATTGATAACGATAAAAGCCTGATCTCTGTGTGGAAGGATGAACAGCACACGGTATTTTTGATTTAAACATATACTTCATATATTATATAGGTATTAAAATTTAACAAAGAAATAAAGAAGAATCGTCCTGAACAAATAAATTGTGACAATGCCACACACTCTATAGCCCTGACTAAGTACCAACTATCCTTAGATTTTAGAGGCATAATACTTGTCCACCACACTTAACGGTTGATGGTCTTTTATAAGAAGCTTTATTTCATTTCAGAAATACACTCGGAGCTATTGACATTCCCTGCCGAGGGGCAGGTGAAGTGCTCGAGTTGCCTCTCAAATCCGGAGTAATTAATACATATTGCATATCTGTAGTATGTTCTGCAGGCAAAGAGTACCGACACGACACTAACCACTTCTATATATGCCCTCTAAAACCGACTGATTCAATATCGCTCCCCTCCTCATATCTGACTCCAATCCACTGATTTCGCCACTTTTTTGGAGGGGTTAGCTAGCCGCTACAACATTCAAAACTGTACCACTACCTAAAAAAATCGTATTAATTACATAAAGATTTATTCGTAAACATGTTAATGTGTGAACTAAAATTAGCCTACTTTCATGAAAAACCGTAGCTTCTTATTAGATTCTTATCGAATTAAGGGTTGACATTTTCGAAGACTCTGGTGAAGAAAACACCTGTGCTGACGGTTTATTTAAAAAATAAGAATAAAGTTAATTTTCACCCTGTATGTAGTACTAGATACCAGCAAAAGAAAACTCATCAAGATTTTTTTATGATCCAGATTTGAAGAAGAAGATATGGGTTTAAGAGTTTGAGAAGCTGGCCGACAGGAGCATGACTCGGATTCTATAAAAAAGGTTCATGCACAAAGCTTTTTACAGAATAGGGTAGTTGGGAAGCATGACTAACCAGTGGAACCCACAAAGACGGAAATCTCTTATTCTGCTGCAACTATCCTGGTATAAACAGAAAAAGCGTAATCTTCTACAAAGTGTTTGCTTCAACAACAGCAGTTTTATTTTTGTTTTAACTATAAAACGATACAATTGGGAATCACTCTTACCAACAGGTGCCACTTTGTACTAAATTCTTTTTCAATATTCCCGACAACACCCTAGAATTCAGTCATTGACACAATACCCGCAAGAAAATCCAATAGTTCCCGCGACAGTCGGTATTTATACCGGAACGACACGGATTTTTATCCTACCATGAGCTGTTACTACAACAACAACCACCCGTGTATTACTGGCTAAGATCGAGATAGCACAGCCGTCTTAAGTCATACTTATTTAGACATGACCCCGACATGCCTAACGTATGTCCAGATGTCCAACATCATCTCTTTGCATGCATTTTACAACCAACTCATCTCGCATCTTCTGGTCCGAACCAATCGAAAAGGCCACTTTTCTGGACCTCCGTTTAAACGACGTCTATAATTTTTTTATTTGCTTGGAGCCTTTACATCTAAAAATTAACGTTAATATGCACTAGAATAGTATCAGTTCACTATTTCAAAGATAGCCCATATCCAGGTTCACTATATCTATACATTTCAAGATTATATCTTAAATGATTATTATACGATGTACCAGCAGTTTTAAATTATCAGAATTAATTTGATCTTTTCAAAGTCTGAGTTTTGTGAAAATATTTTGAAAAACATTTTATGTAAGTTATAAATATGCCAAAGTTAAAAACCGACGTCCAACTCATAGTCATACATATTTTAACGGAATAACAAGATTTGCAGGTAGCCTTTTATACATATAATCTCAACAATGTATATATATAAAAATAATAGCTGTTTTTCATATACGCCCATATATAGGTATGTAAACTTGAAGTTTTATTAAAAATCAAAAACACTGCTAGTTCCTAATTAAGGGGTATTTGTGGAAGGTGATGTTGTCATATAATTACTTCATCTTCCTTCCATTTCACCAAATTATTTTAGAGATTTTATTATACCCATTTTTTTAAATGTTAGTTTGTTCATTTATATAATATTTGAGATCGAAGAACTGGGGACACCTCACCTAAGATGCAATTTTAAGTATAATTATTATTTCTCTCCTCTATATACAAAATTGTAAGAAATAGGCTGGATATGTCATCAGAAGTTACAGAATTTTACCCCCACCCAATCTCCAATCTGAGAGACTACTTTTTTCTTTTTAATATATAGTAATCTTCTTCACTGTTTTGATTCATTTCATTCTCAATAATATTGGGGAAATCAACCTTTATACTCTTGCATTACGATATAAATGTGCATAAGACATGAATATTACTCTGACCAGTCCCAAAAAAAACGAAACTTAATTCTTCAAAATGTAGATCACGCATATCGATTCTTAACAAAACCAAAAGCAAATAGAAATAAGATAAGAGTTTTCACTTCCACCACTTCAAAAATCATCATATTGGTATGGTTTTATGTACACTTTCAATCACTAGCTATTATTATCGAAAACGGAGACAATATTTTACTAGGATATTTATGGAATAAATTCATAGTGCCGACAATTGAAGATAAATATTTCACTATTAAGAGATTGGGTGATGTCATCAATGACAATCAGCTATTTTATAAACACCACTATTAGTCTTACATACTTGTGCTCACCACATCCTCTTTAGTACTTTCCTGGGCGTTGCCTTTTTATCTTAACACATAAGAATTTTTTAATTCTACTAATACATACCGCTCTGCGTTCAGATTTTTTTAGTTTGTTCACTATTCCAGTTGAAAATTTGATAGTTTATAAATAAATAATCTTCCAATCATTCAACTTTTCACACAAATTAAGCTTAGCAAACAACACTAGAACGGCAACTATAAAGCGAAAAAATATGTATAAGCCCTCTGAACGACATTAACTGCTTTATCGACAACAAAGGCACGGTTGCATTATACAACTAGAAAAAAGTGGTGTAAATTAGAGCTTTTCCAAAGCCCAAACATTTTATAATCAGGAGTTAGCATAATCGCAATACATTAGAATATTTCGTGTTTATTTTCATCGAATATACACATATAATGTATTGTTACGATTTTACTAAATCAACCTCGATTATTTTCTAGATCCTTCGGGTACGATCTCTGGATTGTTAAATAAAAACTCGCCAACTTAATTTGCAGTTTCTTTCGTTATAAAGATTCTATCTAATGTCCTTTATTTTCTCAGTAATTCACAATTCAATTATACTGCACTTTACTATTTATAATCACTAACATCAACTTTCACAATTTCCTCTACTTAAATGTAATTCCCTACGCGTTCACTTTACGTCTTCACTGATGTTAACGCCAACCAATTTGCTTTGTCACTGCTTGACTTGCAGCTGAGTGTCGCCTTTATATAGCAGTCGGCTGCTCGCAGACGAAAGCGTAGAAGCATCGAATTGTTCGCTATGGAAGGTTCTTGTGTTATCGGCTTCTCTCTTTCATCTGACATTCGCCTCGCACTTTCGCAACAGTATATTGAAATATAGTGCTTAATCAAGTAATGAAGTTATGAAGAATTAATAAGGAAAAGCAAACGTACAGAATTTGGCAAAATATTTGGAATGACCCCTGCGGGTTAAAGGTTCAGGAATTTACCCGCGGCATGCCTGTAGTAAGAGGCGATTAAAATATAATAGTTTCAGCGACAACCGGAACGACCCGGACTTTTATCCAGCCAAGGACTGCCTTTCCCGCAGCATTCCCAAAAAACTACTGTGCGACATTTTTTGAGGTTACAACAACAACAACAACGGAATTGGACTGCTGACAACAGCAACTAGCAATATTTTATACCACAACAGGACAGTGTCGGTTTTTTATTCATTGTTGCAAATTGGTTTTTTTAATTTTTGTAACTTCCCACTGCCATCATACATATATCACACAAATTCCAAAGCATGGGCAATTTGAAATTAATAATACTCATAATAAAAAGAAAGAAAGTTGTTTGTTAGATTTTTTTCTCTTAGTAAAAAAAAAAAGAGATTGGAAATATTTTCCGAATATGAAACGGTAACTGATTCGGATTCAATTGTTAGTCATGAACTTTACTTTTAAATTATGGAATCGTAATCAACAAATTAAAATCCTTCAAATTCAATTCATTTAAAAGAAACTGTGATCTTAAGCTTTCGGCTGCAAATGGGTCTAATATAAAAACAGAACAAAAGTTTTAAAAGTAGATTTAGGTTAAAAAAGATACTTCGATTTTCTATTTAGAATTCCTGATATTTCAAATTCAATTATTGGTGATAGCTTTTTAGATATATTCGGAATGTTAGTTGATATCAAAATAAAAAAGAAATAACAGAGTTACCAACTAAATTAAAAATTTCTGGACCTGCTGGTTTTTGCGACTATTTCTCACTTCGAATTTCTATTATCGTAAAGTATTTTTGGAACAAGTTATTTTTTTTTACCTATAAAATTTCAAGTGAACATATTGAAATAATTTTTGAAAGACCTCTGTCATGTTATAGTTAGGTATGTCCCTGCAAGAAGGCTTCCGATCATTTGAGCCAACATATGTCAGAAATGCATGACGATATATGCCGTCAGCTCGTAGAACGAGTTTCTTATCACTTTCTTAAGGCCGAAATGACAAACGTGATGTTAACATTTGTATATGTGTACGTCATTCTCTCTTCGTTTCCTCGTTCATTTTTGTCATTCTTGTCGGACAAACAGAACACAGCTGAGCGACAGGATTGATGTCGAAGGAAATCTGTTTTGACAAAAATTGTCCCTACATACATACATATATACATACGTATAAACATTATTAAGATTCAGTCTTTATTTCAATATTTAACATAAATCTTTTGCATGGTTTACATAGCATACAAAAGAAATAACAATACAACAATAAATTCGTTTTCAAAAATAAGCAAAATATTATAAGAAAAAACGCATATACCGAAGTCTTTAATAGTGACGCAGCTCCAGCTCCCCGCACGCCTCCATCATAATCGCATTCGAATCATAATGCTATTAATATATTAATGCGGTTGTACCTCGCAAAGTTTTGTGGAATATTTTTGAGATGTGTTGCTGCTGCAAGATGAAATGCGTCCATTTTAGAGTACCCTTAAATAAAAAAAAATGTAAAGAGTTATGAAAAATTGAGTAGTTAATTATTCGACAATATATTATTACCATAGCTTGTACATTGGTGAACCCACCAGCCTGTTCTTGCAGGTGGATATTAAAATATTGAATTTTGAATTTTAAAAATCTGACATCAGATTGAGAATCATCGACTCCAAAAACCCCTGGATAAATTTTTGAACGCTATATTGGAGTCCCCTTTTTGAATTACGAAATCTGACATCAGATTCATAGTTCTTCTTCTTCATTTTTATCGGTGTTGGTACCTTTGAATTATAGCGCTCCATTCATCTCTTCATTTCGCTGTTTGGCACCAGTTGGAAATACCAAGTGAAGCTAGGTCGCTCTTCACCAGATCCTTCTAACGGAGTGGAGGTCCTCATCTTCCTCTGCTTCCACCAGCGCATACTGCATCGAATACTTTCAAAACTGGAGGGCTTTCTTTATTAGCCGATGTCTCTTCATTAGCTTGTTTGCGGTATTCGCCGTTGCCAATGCGCAAAGGACCATAAATCGTTCGCAAAACCTTTTTCTCCTAACTCCTAGAGATATTGACAAAGTCCACGCCTCTGCGCCATATAGTAGGACGTTAACGATGAGCGACTTGTAGAGATTGGTATTCGTTCGCCGAATGAGGACTTTACTTTTCAATTGCCGTCCAAAGTAGCATATTTCACCAAGAGTGATTTTGCGGTAGATTTCCAGGCTGACATTGTTGTTGGTGCTAATACTGGTTCCAAGATAGACGAAGTTATGACTGTCTACAGTGACGTAGGAGCCGAGTACCGAATGCGATGATTGTTTATTTAATGACAGGAGATATTTCATCTTGTCCTCATTCCCTACCAGACCTATTTGCTTCGCTTCTTTATCAAGTATGGAGAAAGCAGAACTAATGGCGCGCTTATTGAGACCAATAATGTCAATATCCTACGTGTATGCCAGCAATCTTATATAAGATTGTACCTTCTCTATTCAGATCTGCAGTTCGCATTATTTTCTGCAACCCCGCACGTGCGCAAGGTTGCGAGGTAGGCAATCTGTTATCTCTCCACCGCGACACAGCAATCCTCTTCGTACCAAGGAGTTTGCCATGCCGTCGCACAGTTACTTTAAGCATTAAGCGTTCTTCGATACAAGGAGACGGGTGCGTATCTTCGCTTCGACAAGATAGTGATCCGAGTGGAATTGGGATCTCGGAACGTAAGCAAGTCTAAAACACTGGATTCATGTCTTCCGTCAATCACCACAAACTCTCGATTTGGTTGAGAGTTTTTCGATCTGGAGACAGCCAAGTAGCTTGGTTAATTTTTTTTCTGCTGGAATATAGTGCTACAGACAATCATATTTCGGGCTCCGGTGAAGTCGAACAGCCTCTTCCCATTTGGGGATGTTTCGCCGTGGACATTGAGCTTTTCGACTGTTGTTCCATAAATACCTTCTTTGCCCACCCAAGCGTTGAAGTCCCCAAGCACAATTTTGACGTCGTGGCGCTTATAAGTGTACTCGAGGCGCTCGTATAAGACATCTTTGGTCACATCGTTCTTCCGTCGGGGCGTGGAGTAAAAAATATCGATTTGATTCGCATAGAGGCGATACGTTCATGGAGTGAATTTCACAATTTTTAGACGGCGGTGATGACAGTCTTTAACTTTATGAGAACATCAAGCAGATGGGCAGCGTCATCTTCCCAATTATAACTATAATAATAATTGAGCGGATATTCTAGGTGCATGCCCTCAAATCTTAATCCTTAAAAAATTTGCGATAATCGTCATCAAAAGGAGGGTCTCTCATCCGAGGTTTTTTTTTTTTTGATTTTTTATTGGGTTAAGGTCTTCACGTTTTGGGTCCCAAACCCTACGCACAACCACATGGGATTCGCCTTCACACTTTAGCTCGCCTTCAAACGGATGATTCATTGTTAGCGACTCCAAAAACATCTACATGCGAATTTCTATAAATTATTAAAAAATTTTAAGAGTCTTATCACTTTTCATTTAGGTATTGTTTTCACACCTAAAAACCATAATCGACTTGATCTAGTAAAACGGCGAAACAGGGGTATTTGGTCCTAGTTTCCGAAAATATTTGATTTGTTCGTGGGTCGAAAATCTTATCGGACGGTGTAATAGAACGATTAAACGAGAACCTTCAATAGCGAACAATTCGATGCTTCTACGCTTTCGTCTGCGAGCAGCCGACTGCTATATAAAGGCGACCCTCAGCTGCAAGTCAAGTTAGTGATAAAGCGAACTCGTTGCCGTTAACATCAGTAAAGTCGTAAAGTAAACGCGTTGAAGATTACATTTAAGTAGAGTAAATTGTGAAAGTTGATGTTAGTGATTATAAATAGTAAAGTGTAGTATAATTGAATTGTGAATTACTGAGAAAATAAAGGACATTAGATTAATTCTTTATAACGAAAGAAACTGCAAATTGAGTTGGCGAGTTTTATTTAACAATCCAGAGATCGTACCCGAAGGATTCAGAAAATCATTGAGGTTGATTTAGCAAAATCGTAACAATATAAATAGTATAGGGAGTCAATGGGGAACGCTATAGAGCCATAATTAATGACTTCTTCGTGAATTCCCTGAATTGGAAGATGTTGATGTAGACGACCTTTGGTTCTTACAAGACGGCGATACAAGTCATACAGCTAACAAAACAATTAATTCATCGATGGAAACTTTTGGTCAACGCATTATCTTATTATTTTCAAATGGATGGCTACTTCTTAAAAATAACCTGACCCTGCGTAATAATATGTTTTTTTGCAAAGAAAAAAAGGTGGGTATATATTGAGTTGAAAATTATTTATTTAGGTGCAAGTTTCACTAAAATGGCAAATCGTTTGAACTCAAAAGAATTCGTGGAATCAAGCATTCTGCCCCTTTGTAAGTCCCTTTCAAAATTCTTGCAACTATCACACTATTCGATATCTGCGACACAGTTTTGGCAGATTGCGAAGCACAATAATGATCGATCCAACTTTAAGACGTAAATGATGCGGCAGCATGCTGTTTTTGGCGCTGTTGCTGAGCAGTCAAACGTTGTTCTCTTGCTTCATGAATTTCCTGAACACGAACTTGTCTTCTTCTCAATCGTTGTTGTTCATTGTAAGCTTCGTGAGCCTCTTGTGATTGTCGTGCGCGATGTTTTATCATTACGATTCGAGCAGTAGCATTTTCCTCCTACGTATGATGTGGTCCATTGAACGTCGGAAATTCCGACCGATATTTGCGCGACTTCTTCGGGGCATCGTAACAAATTTCAATCTGTAATTGATCACTTTGTATGAAGCACACATAAAGTTTTCACTGAATAATTTTCAATAATTTTCCTTTTGAATGGCCGAAATAAAGAAAACAAACGACCAATGTTGAATGATTTAAATAATTTACAAATCAGTTGAAGAAGTATCACAAATAAATTCCAATGGAAATGAGGTCAATTATATTGACCAACAAAAAAAATGTTTAAATAAACAATTAAAAAAAAAGATAGATTTAAAAAAAATTAAAGACAAAAAAAATTTAGAAATGTGTAGGGAAAAAAGTCACTTTTTAGAATTTTTCAATTTTCGTAAGAAAAATTATAGGTTTTTTTTACTTCATCACGATCGGTCCAGCCGTTCTCAAGTCTTAGCCTAACTAACAAACAAATATTCATTTTTATATATTAAGATATACATACATACATACAATTTTATGGGATAGATCTGACTGTGGATCTGGAGAAAAGTATATATGTATATATATAAATAAAATATATGTACATGGTGTTTTGTAACCACTGAAGCGGTTTTTAGCTCCTTCTCAAATTTGTGACGTGCGTATTGATATTTTTCCAAAAAACTGAATACAATTTTTAGGATTGGAGAATATTCGGTGATTCCCCCAGTTTGAAAACAGTTCTGTTACACGTCACCAATTCAAAAAATGCCATCCCGTCCTAAAAGAGGTTAATCTTCCAAGAGGTATGCAGTTGGGTTATACCGAAAGTCATTTGCTTGTGGTACACTCATTTCGCTGGAAGTTAGAATTCAGGAAAACAACGTTATGGGGACTCTATTTGTACCAAGCAAAAAGGTTCTGCTTCCATCGCTCCATATAAGACAAAAATTTCGTAAGCGTCCAGTAGCAAATGTAATCAATGAACAGCGACTTGCATTTCAGTTCGGAGTGATAATTTAAATGTTAAAATGTCCTTCATTGAAATTCGTTTTCTTAGCTGTGCGTTGTTGTTTAAGAGACTTTTGTTATAATTCGCAAAATGATGATGGCGATATAGAAGAGTGCAAATAAAAAAGTGAAGCTGAATACTAAAAGCTTGCGAAAAAACTATAAAAAAAATCACTATAAAGCTTTCTATGTTCTTTTGAAAAAGTTTCTTCCCGCCCGTATTTGGCAACACGATTATTCACAAAATTATACATAATCGTACATATAAATAATTAAATGAAATTTATAACTTTATATAAATTAAATTTTTTTGAAGTGATTTTGAAAGATTATAAAAATTTGACCGGCAGTGACTCTAAAAAGCGAATTTTTTTAATGAGAAAGTTGTGTTTTTTTCTGTGTAATAGACCAAAATATACAAAATGGCGAATATTTTGAAAATATAAAACGGCTATCGCCGTTACCGTTTCCGTTTGCTTCATCAGGGCTGCCAGTTTCATGTTTCAAGTAAGTCGAATCATGTTTTATGTATTGCAGCTTTGAGTATCTTCTTTTGTGTGTAGATGTGGTGTAATGCTCTCTCTTTTCTCCACAAGTGATGGTATTTCTAGCATTAGTACTTATTTTCGATACCAAATATTTTTAACCGATACCTCATTTCTCTGCCTGCAGAGAACGTAGAATAATATACGTTCTGTGTTGCTTGCTATTAGTTGTAATAAATTGTTGTTTTCATATATTGTATTGAAATTTATAATTAAAATGGCTAATATATCCCCTCGAGTCTTCGCTGCAATGCAAAATTTGGATATTAAAGCCCTTTCCACATATCCTTCTTACGAAATACGACCAGTTTTACCGTCGTTAGTTAGGATGAGTTTACTATCTCCTCTTGATAACACAGAATCGTCGATGGAGTCTAGAAAACAAATACTAGCTGTTCTGATAGGCATAGAAGTGGTAAACAGCATAGTTTCATACCTGCAAGTAAATTACCATGAGTTGGAGCAAGATTTGAAGAAGGAACTGCAAGCACGTCAGAAGTCTATGTATTTTGAAGGACAACAACCAGAATACGGTTTACAAAGTGGTATAGCTCTGGGTTTTGAGCGTGCTGATGTTACACGGAAGGTGCGTGTCGTTTTGTCTGAAATATTTAACATACAGTATCAATTGTCGGATCAAAAAAGCATTTTACAATCAGAGGTTCTGGACGACGGAATATATTTAGAAGAAGTTGTTGACATACTATGCATAGCACTAGCGGAACTACCTTCGGTACTGAATATTGTAGAGCTGTCGGATGCATTGGTCCACGTACAAAATGGGAAACGTATTATTTGCGCATTAGTTGCGAACTTTCCAGATTGCTACAGAGATGTGGTAACTCATATTATTTTGAATTGTGATGAAGAAACAAATGAAGGAAAGTTGAAATTATCATTGTTGATGGCTTTGAATGAAATGAACCCCAGTCAAGCTCTACCTACAAGATCTATTTGTGTAGAAATTTTAAAGGTTCCATCATTTATGTTGAAACTTTGCCTCAAGTATCCTGAAGACTTGGTAAGTTAGTTTTCTTAAAAATGTATCTTTCGGCTGCCATACATTTACTAATAATATTAAGATATTATATGCTATTATTTCGATAGGTTGCTTTCCTAACCGGAATGTTACTGGGTAACGATCAAAATGTCCGGACGTGGTTTGCTCTTTACATACGTTCAAGTCAGAAAAGGAAGAGCGATGCTTTGAATATGGTACGAGTGGAACTTTTACTGCAGCTACAAAAAAATGTTCAGAAATCTTTAAAATATACAAAATGTGATGACTATACAGTTCAAGGTGTGGTGCTAATGCGGTTATATTGTGCTCTAAGAGGAATCGCAGGACTTAAGTAAGTAAAACAAACACATTCTCGTTTGAAAAATCTCCATTTGTTTGAAAAACATACATTAAGACGCATACTATAAATGCGGGGGGAGGGACTCAGCCGAAAATCGCTTCAGTGATTATAAAGAGCGAATAATATATGTAATCAGGAAGAAAGGCAGAAAGACGTAAAAAATACGGAAATTGAAGAAGGAAAAATACTAGGAAGAATTTTAGTCCAATTAAATGAGGGGGCATATATATTTTTGTTGTGGTTTTGCCAAATAGTTGCACCTCATTTAGAGTGCAGTTAAAGCTAATTAACTTCTCCGAAGTTTTGACCGATTCTGACAGATGGGTGTTAGATGGGTTTGTTTAAGGCGGAAGACAGGTGGTTAATGTCGAGGGGGTACTTACCTTTGTTCATGGCTTGCACAATTAATTCAGGTTTTATAAATTGATATGTACTTGTCTGAAGCGGGCTCTTAGACTATAAAATAATATGACACTTTCTAAAATTTGGACGACTAATTTTTATAGTATTTCATACATACATATATGAATGAACCAATGTTAACATTTTAAATTTACTAAAAATTATTTCCTTTCAGATTTAATGACGAAGAAGTTAACGTGCTATCACAACTTGTTACTAGTCGTCCGCAACCTACACAATCTGGAATTCGTTTTGTGTCATTGGCACTCTGCATGCTGATTGCCTGTCCATCTCTGGTGTCTACAACTGCTCTTGAAAATAAATCAGTTGAATGGTTGCAGTGGCTCATAAAGGAAGATAAATTTTTTGGTAGAAAATCTGAAACATCTGCATCACTGGGGGAAATGTTGCTTCTACTCGCGATACATTTTCATAGTAATCAAATAACAGCAATTAGCGAATTAGTTTGCTCCACCTTAGCTATGAAAATTCCTATCAGACCCAATAGTACAAACCGCATAAAACAAGTTTTTACCCAAGACTTATTTACAGAACAGGTGGTTGCGTCGCATGCGGTTCGGGTACCTGTAACTCCCAGTTTAAATGCCAACATTTCAGGTTATCTGTCGGTTCATTGTATACATCAATTATTAAAATCACGAGCATTTCTAAAACATAAGGTTCCCATAAAGTTCTGGATTTACAAGCAAATTTGTAATGCGGTCCGACCATTGCATCCTGTAATGCCAGCGTTAATCGAGGTTTACGTGAATACATTAATTGTCCCTAATCCGCTGGGAAAGGTCAATGTAGATCACATGCACAAACCGTTTTCTGAAAACGAAATATTACACATATTTAAAACATCAAAAACTGCAAAAACAGATAGTGAGTTATTTTTAAGCGGGAATCCCACAGACGTCGATGAAATATCAAAAATCGAAATTAAGTGTCCTTTAACGGCTCAATTGCTTATATTGTATTACTTAGTACTTTATGAAGACACTCGTATATTTAACACGCATAGTCAATCAGTTGGCAGGAAAGTGAGGGAATATTCAAATAATTTTTTGGCAGAACTGCCAATGAAGTATTTATTGCAAAAGGCAGAACAATACCAAAACGATTACGCTGGTCTCTTTCATCCTCTACTCCGTTTAATTATTTCCAATTATCCGCACTTAAGTATGGTTGATGACTGGATGGAGGAGCATTATTTATCAAATTCCAATGCAACAAATCTTATGTTGAGTAGGCAAATTGATCGTTGTCTGGTTATAAAGGCGCTTGAAAAGATAAGTACTAAGCCATCGATAGCTATACGAGTTTTCAGGGGCCTTTTAAAGTTACCTGCTGAAGATCTGGGCCAATATTCAGATTTAATAGTTGAAAACATGTCAAGAGTTTTCCAAAAAAAAGTTCCTAGAATTATTCAAGAGCTTTATAAAGATATATGGTTAAGGCTGAACTCAGTGCGCCCTACAAGTTTTTGGAAAATGTCATTGAATTCTATTGTTAATGTGGAGACAGGCACCACAGGATGTGCCACATATGTTAACGAAGATTTATTGGATCCATTGCAAGTCCTGAGGTATAAATATATATTGTTATTTATATTATTAAAATATTAAACATTTATTCCATTTTAGGTGTGATAAGCAAGTCTTTTACTCACCTTATACGCTTATGATTCTGTTGCGTATCCTGAAAGGGAGTTTGGCTGCTTCTAAAGCTTTCCTCAACGTCCAAATGCAAACCAAACAGATTTTAGATAAAAACGGCCAGTTACAAACTGACAGCGATCGGGATGAATTAAAAACGGCTTTGATTGCTTCCCAAGAGAGCGCAGCAGTTCACATACTTTTAGAGGTTTTAGCTGACATGAACAGAAATGCTTCGGATACGGTATCAACTTTCTCCTTACGAGAAATACAAGGAATAATTTGTTCTTTCATACATCAAGCTTTTATTTCGGAACCATCTTTAGCAAAACTAGTTCATTTTCAAACTTACCCCAGAGAAGTTATACCAATGATGGTAATGGGAGTTCCTTCCATGCACATTTGTATCGACTTTTTACACGAATTTCTCAACATGCCAGAAATGGATAAGCAAATTTTTACAATTGATTTGGCATCTCATCTCGTTCTTAAATATGCCATACCTAAAAGCCTAAGTGTTTCTAAATTTTGCATTAACACAGTTCAATCTTCCTTATCTCTACTTTCCTCCAATGCCAAATGCAAGTTTTTGAGTAACATCCTTCCTGCCCTCATCCGATTCGCAGAAGCTTTTCCGATTTTAGTTGATGACTGTATTAATATTTTAATGTTGACGGGAAGAAGTTTTCATTCCCAAGGCACCTTAGGAATTAGCCCTACCCAAATGCAACTTACATCAAGTACAAAGCGAAATTGTTTTAAAGACAACCAACAATATATCAGCATGATTGAGGAAGCTTTTGAAACGCTGATCAAAAAAATTGTGAATAAAGTTGAGTTGTATTGAAACCAATTTAAAAATATTTGTCGATTAATCTGAAAAATTATTCGGGGGTGGCCTGGCGCCAGTAGCATATATGGAATTTTTGTCGGTCCAGATATAAGTATTTCGCAAATATTCCCGCGAAAGCCATATTTAGTTGCTTAAATTCCGAAAATAGAAAAATAAAAAATATTTTTGCAATTGAGATGGTTGCTACTTGTGATATTTTAACGGAATATAGGTAGTGGCGAGGCTGAAAAAAATTATTTTTTTTTTTATTAATTTTAAGTTTCCATGTAATGATGGTCTCAAAATACATTCTTCTTATCGATGTGTATCAAGTGTAAATCAAAAATGTCAATGATGTAAACTTTTATAGATGCATTAAAGAAGGCAAGGACCTAAAGAATAAAAAATTGATTTTTGAAAAAAATTGTCGCTTAGGTAAAAAAAAGTTTCGTTTTCAACTGAACACTTTTTCATATAAATTGTTAGTGTTACTGTACACTGGAATTTAATTGATTCACTGTATGAACAGATATAAATATAAGAAAGAAAAGAGAGGTATCTAAATATTTATGACCGTTCCGTTGAATCATTTCTGAGAACCGCTTAAAATTACGGATGTAAGCAAGAACCACCTGACTTGCTTGTTCAATTCAGCTTTAACATATGACACATGTCGTCGTTTGGAAACAAAAACAACCATTCATTGTCACGCATTCCTAGATGCAATTGTGCGAACTTTGACGATGTATCACGTTCCAAAATTATTTTATCATAAATTCTTATCAACAACGGCGGGAGGCTAGCTTTTTGCGCTAATTATTACTACATACATACACATATATTTGCAATTGATTTATCATTTTTTAATAAGGTTGAAAACTCGAAAGGTAGTAACGAAATGTTGATCTTACAAAATAAAAATCGAGGTGCCAATCTTTCCCCAGGTGTAAAGGGTGGTTAATGAGTGAAATTTCAAGGACAAATAGTTTGTGTCCATACATATGTATGTATATATGTTTTACATATTTTTGGATGTGCCGTTAAGCATTTTCTGTTAGTTGTCGAGTTCCCTGATTAAATATTCTAGGAAATAAAAAACACTTTTCTAATCTTTTGGTCGAATTCGTGCCGATTGTCAAGAAGCTGTTTCGAAAATTCTTTACTTAATTCTGAGCTGGAGCATTTCATAGAAATTACATTTATGAGTTCCTATGTATATTTAACCACAATTAATAAATAAAATAAACTAAAATTATAAAATTTTACTATATTTTTTTTTCTTTTTGCACCACAAAAATTCTAATTACGGGTTTTCACCGTTTTTGCCAACAAATGACAAAAACGAAATTAAACCTCATTTGGTATCGAACGGCTTGGAGAGGTCCTTCCCGACCTGATTGACGGAACTTTTAGTGTTACTTAAATTCACCTTACACAGCCGTATAAGTTTTGCGGGGATACCGGCGTAAAGGTAGTTACTATTCATGCTGTCCAAGGTTGCTTTAAAATCGACAAATAAGTGGTGTGTGACGGTCAATGGCTGATTTATTATGTCTAAAGCAACGCTGGTAAGATCCAGTTAGTTTGTTGACGGTGGGCTTTAGTCTTTTACACAATATTAAGAAAGCTTATTGGGTAGAACACACTTAAATTCCAATCGTGGGGCATGCTTTCGTCCGACCATATTCTTCAAAGTAGCTGATGCATGCACTTTTTCAGCTCTTCACCGGCATGTTTGAATCCCTCTGTCGGTAGGCCGTCAGCTCCGGCCGCTTTGTTGTTCTTTAATCGCTATATAGTCGAGTAGTTGAGCGTCTTTTACATCTTCCGTCTTCGATTGGGGTGTCGGGTTCACCATCTCCGGTTGTTTAATTTTCACTGCCATTCAGCAGGCTGGAGAACTGATCGCTCCACAAATTCAATAATTCTCAATAGATCACCTCTTTGTGTCCTATAAGAATCTGCGCCTGTCTTGAAACCTCTAAGCTGTCGTATCTTTTCATAGAAATTTCGAGTATTACCCTTGTCAACCAGCTTCTCAAGTTCTACATATGCACGCATCTCGACCTCGACATGTGAGGTAGGCTTTCCTCCGACTGCGACACGGCAGACCTCATCGTACCAGCTGTTTTTGCTGTTTTTCCGAAATCCAATAACTTCATTTGCAGCTATACGTAGGAAGCCGTCCCACAGTTCCCTTATTAAAAATTGCTGATGAGCGTCCTCAGAGAGCAGGAGTGCAAGTCGTGTTTGTTGACTGGCGTTCTTTAAGGCACAGAGTCGTGCATCTTTGTTCCGACAAGATAGTGGTCCAAGCCGATGTGAGGACCATTGGGCCCTCGCAGTGTATGCAGGAGTGTATGCACGTCAGGCACACAACAGTCATGTCTTCCGTCTATCACAACATGATCGATCTGGTGTTGGGTTTTTCTATCAAGGGACAGTTAAGTAGAACTCAACGACGGAGTCTCCCACCACAAATCCGACACCGAATTCGTGCTCCTTTATATGATATGTAGTAGATGTCAAAAAGACCCACTCGCTTCCTACCTTATCCCATCCATCGTACTTCTTGGACGGCGGTGACGTCAGCTTTGATTCTTACGAGAACATTAACCAGTTGGTCAGCGGCACCTTCCCATCAGTAGGGGGTATCTAATCCGAAGCATGTTCTCGATAAGCGAGTAAGTTCAAAGTTTGTACACATTTATATAGCGAACCGCTTGCTTCAAGACCGACGCCCGCTCGCAAACGCATCTGTGATGGACAGACGCTACAATTATACTTCAGCGTAACCTTAAACCAAATAAGTCGGAGTGATTCCACTAAAACTTTCTCTTTTTTAGCCGAAACCCAAGCCTCCACATTAAAAATTAATTTTCCATGGATTACGTATCTGCATGACCCATCTAAAGAGAAAAAGAATTTCATGAAATTCAGGAAGTAATGTCGAACAAATACGAATAAGCCATAAACCGTAATATCCTGTTCTTGAAAGAAGGTTGTAGTAATGATTCTTAGAACAAATATAGTAAAATTGTTTAATGAGTGTACCAAAACTAAAACTTGCAAGCCATTTCGAAACGTCGAAAATACCGTCATAATTGAATTAAATGAATAGTAACCTCAACTGAACTGTTCTACCGTTTTTTTACCACATAAACCATTGTGTCATCTCAATGGACTTAAAAATATCGAAAGATAGAATAAATATGTAGGTATAAGCATAAATAAATATACATTTTCTTCACTTTATTTCAAGGGATTTCAGAACCTTTTCGAATACGGCAATTGTGACAATGAGTATGAGTTTACATTTATTCTCTCAATGGTTCAACAATTCAGAGACAACAAAGAGTATGTGAGCTTATTTTTCAATTCTTTTTGAATCTTTAAATTCTACACACTTTTTCCAGAAGGAAATTTAAATTTAATTTACAAAATCAACAACATTTTTGCTGTTCTGTAAAAAGCAAGGCGAGTTCATTAAGTGAGAGCAGTAAAATAATACAAAAATTACGATGTACTCCGTTTTTGGGTTTGGGTAGCGAATATCAAATTAACCATCTCTCTGTACCAGTCGGGCACACGGCAATCACTTAAACACAACTCTTAGGATCTTCACGCTTATTGTTTACCAGGGTAGATACCGTTACGCGCAGTTCATTCGTATTTTTCGCTGTTTGGCGCCAATTGGAAACATCAAGTACAGCCAAGTCCTCACCCACCTCGTCTTTCAAACGAAATTAAGGTCTTCCTCTTACTTACCTTCCACCGCCGGGTGCTGCAACGAAAAATTTCGCAACTGGAGTATTGTTATCCATCCGGACCACAACACTTAGTTCGCTGAACTACATCAATGGCGTCGTATATCAACCATAAGTCTTACACAAAACCTTTCGCTTGAAATTCCCAACGCCATATAACGGGACGGGAGTGATGAGCGGCTTGTAGACTTTGCTCTTTGTTCTTAGAGATTTTTCTTTTTAATTACATACTTAGTCCAAGGTAGCAAATGTTGGTTTGCAAGTAAGACATTTTTGTTGGTGTTAATTTGGTTTCAAGGTAGACGAAGTTATGTTCGACTGTCAATAGTGACGTGGGTGCCGAATTCCGACTGCTATAGCTGTTTGTTTGATGATATTTCGTTTTGCCCTCAGGCACAACTAAATGCATACGCTTCATTCCTTATTCAGAGGTTGCAGAGGTTAATTAGAATAATATCAACGGCGTCCGCCAGCAGCAGTAGCCTCTTATCGATTCTACCTTCCTTATTCAGCTCTCCATCTCGTATTATTTTATCCAGCAATAAATTAAGGAAGTTACATTACAAGGAATCCCCTTGCTTTAAATCTATGTTGTTGTTGTTGTTGTAACCGCAAAATTATGCCCCAAAGTACTTTTTGGGGAATGTTGCGGGAGTGACAGTTCTTGGCCGGATAAAAATCTGGGTCGTTCCGGTATAAAGACCCGACTGTCGCGAGAACTATTGGATTTTAGTCGCCTCTTACGACAGGCATGCCGTACCGCGGGTAAATTCTTGAGCCCCTAACCCGCAGGGGGACTTTAAATCTATATGCAATATTGGTATCGATTGGAGAATTGAGTTCGGCACCTCCTGATGTTTCGTTTTCACTGCCACTTAAAAGGCTTAATAAGGGTCCCCTCCATTAGGTAAGTATACTATAGGCGTCAGTCACTAGTTCACAAGAGTTTTCCCCGTTCATGATACCTTTAAAGTCGCCGTATTTTTTTCGCAGAATTTTCAAGCATTACCCTTTTCTGCCAGCTTCATAAGCTCTTCATACTCATACGTACCATCCTGACTTGGGTGTACAACTCATCTGAGAACTATTTGATTTAGGACGACTTTAACGCGGCTACCTGTAAAATTACCGTAAAGGGATGAACATATCATTCTGTCAAATTACCATGGAAGGTGTGAGCTGGCGCAACAGGATGATAATTCGACATTCTGCACCATGCAGCCACGGTATTACCGCTGCTGTATGGTTTACTTAAAAGATGCGGAATATAAGGGTTTACAAAACAAGATAAGGTTTGGAAAACTATATCCAACGAATAAATTTTCAGAAAATGGAAAACTATTTTAGTGCACAATTAGATAAAAAAAAAACCTCTGATCACTGTTATTATCATTTATTGAAATTGTTAACGCGGTGAGCGGTAATCCTTGCATAAATTTAGGAGCTGTCTCAAATGAACAGCAAATTGATACGGCTAAGGTTCTAATTGCTTGCAATGGAATTCACCTTCTTATGATCTAGATCAGATATCTCCTACTCATCCCTGCTACCTTAAGAGGTATGCAATGGCCTAGTGCTCAATTTGAAAACAATCAACATTCTTCTCCACTCGCTTAGAAAGAAATAATTAACAAACGAATGGCAAGTTTGAAAGAAAGTTGTCTCTATTACCTTATTAACCGTTTCAACTATAAAATTTATTTTTTTTTTGTAGGTTCCCAAACGCTCATCGTATACTACTTGCCTTTCTGGAAACGATTTCATAAAATATGGTTTCAATGCGAATGCTTCATAGACAAACAAGATGAATTGAATTTATTTTGTATTATTAAGCTGGAAGGTTAAAGCTTCCTGTTTCAAATCTCACGCCCATTTGATATTTGTCAAATATACCTCCATCGCTGTTTTTTTCCATATCCGCCTTTATCCATCTATATAAATTCGTTGCCCGTTCCAACAGCTGCTAAAAACACCAGTGTTTTTTGGGTAATTTCATCGTTCAAAAATGCCACCATTCATAAAAATGCTTTGTTTAATTTTCCCAAATGGTCTGCGTAGGCTAAAGCATATAATTGAGTTGCATACGAACCCAAATCGTTTCACGAACTACTTCCACTAATGTACCTACGGTTGTAAATCCGACTTTAAGACTGTGCCCCATTGTACATAACTGTCTCCAGTCGATAAAAATTTTAAATAAATATTTTTTGTTGTTTCAGTTGATTCGGTGAAAAAATGGAAGAACTGAAGAGAAAAAGACCATAGCAACCAGAACTGGCCAGAGCAGAGCGCTAGGCATATGAAAGTTTCCAACCCGAGGTAGCATTTGCTTCAAATGTGAATTCATTACGGGCGATAAAGACAAGGCTCTTTTGCGAGCCGAAGTTTCCAAGACTGAATATATAAGGTGTAGTAAAACGAAATGCATTATTTTGCATAGAATTGAATTGTTTAATTTTTACTTTTCGTATCCAGCCTTATTCAAATGGTTCCAATAGTTTTTTTATGCAATCTTTAGATCTTGGGCAATCGAAACCTTGCTTACACGACGGTCTGACTCGACAATACACATGATTTTATCGACATTTTCGACAATTGGCCCTCCACTCCGTGAATCATCTTTTACATCAAAATTGCTGGAATGAAACCAAAATTGTTTCGAAGAAAAACTGCATAACAACAACAAACATGAAGTGACGCACGCTCAAAAATAATTGAATCAACCAATCACAAAACCGCCAAAAAAGATTTTTGGTACGAAAAAGAAAAAATTAACTTAGTTATTTTATTCTAAAGTAATTTTTTGTAACTTTAGGCTGCTGGTTATACCAGGACTTGAATCCGAGCCTTCCGATTGGCAGTACACAATGCTAACCACTCGGCTACCGCGGCTGCTGAATAGGAACATATGTAAATAAAATGATTGAAAGTAGGATTTTTTTCTATTTCGAAATGAGCTGCTTAGTATTATTGTGTATTATTGACATTTGAAAATTTGGTGAATAATTTACGCTATGTATTAGAGCCACCTCTATTATTTTTTACAGGCGGTTCCGCGGTATTAAGTTCGTTATTCACCTTCTTCCAAATTTGGTTCAACTCCTTATTACCCTTAAAAAATCTTCGGGCTGTAGCCGATTGAGCTCCCATAAGCTAAAGCCGCACTTTACTTGCTCTTTTTGACCTAAAGAAATCCACAAAGAAATTGATATAAATGTAGTTCTATCCTTCAATTTTCGTAGGATATTGGAAAAAAAATCCAAACTATACATATTTATTTTTGGCACACAACGTATGTGGATATCACTTGCCGCGCTACATACGGGATTATACCGCCGAGGTAGTAACGTGCCCGTTAGAGCGATGCTTTAAGGTCCTGTAACCTCTACGCTGTGGCACCGAAGCTCTGGGTCACAGTCAAATCGTTGGCCAGCACGACGTAGTGTGATTATTGGGTGGAAATTTTATTCGATGACCGCGCTTCATCGGACCCGAAGAAGTGCGCGAGCTATTTTTGGCCACTTTTTACACTGTGTCCATCGGTAAACCAAATAAATCGTCAAATGCTTTGCGCGGCGCTTGATTTCTCCAGGGAATATGTTCAAGGAGGTTATCGAACCTTGACACAACTTAAGTCTGGATACTGTAGCAGGTTAAACTCTTATTTATCCAGACTCGACCCCAGCATATCCAACGTATGCCCTGCTTGTGGAGAGTCTCCACACGACACTAACCACCTCTTCACATGCCCCTGGACCTCCCACGATTGATCAAACTTGTACCCAAGCGCTACAACAACAGGGGCTAAAACAACTTGGACCAGAAGAAGACTACCTCACCAAGGTCCTCAACATGTCTTTGACAAACCTAATAATTCCCGACATACATATGGGAAATGGATAGAGTGGTCCTGCTACTATAGCTGGGGAAACCAGCCAACAAGAAGAATCATATCGGCCGATATCTCCTTCTCCCCAGTAGCGAAGACAACCGAGCCCTTGCTGCTCCTGTTTGAATATTTAAACAAAACCGGAAATTAATTTTTATCAACCAAGCTAAGTCATGAAGAATGAAAAAAAACACATTAGATCTGCAAATGGTAATTCGCTCTATAAATCCACAAAGCAATTTTGAAGAGATTTGGAAGTACTATACATATACATACGTATGTATGTCAAATCAGATCATGACAATTTCATATTCAATTAGTTTTTTTTTTTAAATTTGGAATTCTCCTTCAAAAAGTTAATATTTGGAAGAAGTAAAATACTTTGGGAACTTATTAATGGCATTCCGATTATCGTAGCTTTTGTTGGCGAAGAGTTGTTTGGTCGTAAAAATCTTTTAACTTATTAATATTTTAGTATAATTTATTATATGTGCATATGTAAGCAGAATATTTTTTACCTAAATTTAAGGTAATTGTAAATTGTATAGAAGTTTTATGCATGCTATATCGGATGCTACTGCTTCATCATCACATTTCAACATGTCATGTCAAATATATGCTGATGGCCACTACAATGAGAACATCATGCCAGCGGCAATAAAAACATTAGCACACATATCAATTTATAAAATTTTACCATTTAGCCACAAAAGATATTTTAGTTTATTTCTTTCAATTTTCTTTATATTCACATATAATATGTTATCACTGCTAGAAGTGCTTATAACTAGGCACGAATAAAATTATGGTTTAACATTTGTAACTAGAGCTATTTAGAATTTTCTTTTATTTCATTAATGCTCGTACTACGGCGTTGACGTTGAGTGTTTTGAGATCTGTATAGGTTTGTCCAGTTCCAACAAATACAATCGGTTGTCCAGTTATGTACGTCATGGATATAGCTGCACCCACTTTATCATCGATTGTGTCAAATTTTGTGAGAACAATGCCATCTATTAAATGAGGATTTTCGTTTGAAGAGTAATCAGCTAGAGATTGATTAAATTTTACGAGTTGATCAACAGCTTCATTTCCAACTAGCGCTTCACCAACAAATAAGACTAAGTCAGGGTCGTTCACTTTTATCAATTTTGATAGTGATCTCATAAGCGGTTCATTGTCCTGCATTCGACCAGCTGTGTCGACAAGCACTATATCAATTGACGTGTCATGAGCATATTTAATAGCTTCCATAGCAATTCCTGCTGCATCCTTCCCATACCCTTTTTCATAGAGTTGCACCATCGTTCGATTACTATGCTTTCCTGGCGGATGCAAGGCATTTAAATGGCGAGTATGCGTTCTAAGCTGTTCCACAGCTCCAGCCCTGAAAGTATCGCACGCTGCAATCAATACACTGAAGTCATTTTCAATTAACCAGAAACAAATTTTTGCTAAGTTTGTTGATTTTCCAACTCCATTTACACCACAAAATGCAATTGTATATGGTCTACCCTCTTTTTTTGATTCTAATGCATCGCGAATAATATCTATCCTTCTTCTAGGTGATAATATATGCACCAAGGAAGTATTTAAGGAGTTCTTAACCAGCGATGCAATTGAATCGAATGTTCCCAATGATTTTCCTTCCAAGTTTAAAGCCACAGTATCGCATAATTTCTGAGCAATATCCGCAGCCACATTTTTTGTTATCAAATGATCTCGCATTTTTTCAAGCGCAGACTGAAGTTCGTCTTTGGAAAGTTTTTTTGTGCCTACAATTCCTTTAAAATAAGACAAAATACCGCTAGTTTTTGTGCCATGTTTTGAATTGTGCTGTTTTATTTCTTCAGTTTCTAAGGTATCATCATCGCTGTCAACTTCTAAATCTTGAATTTTGCCTTGCATTGTGCCAACAATCTACAAATGATAAGTAAGATACAGAAATATAAAATATATAGCAAATATGTTCATTTATACAGTTTATTGTAAAAAAAAAAAAAAACTGTAGTTTTCATCCGTAATTGCCGACTATTTTTTACTGAGCAATATCATTTTCCCAATGTACAACATCAAATATATGCTGACGGCCTTCTCATATTCTCAAAACCTTCCGATCTATGATCTTTGTCTAGCAATCCTTTCTCAATAATATGTGTGGTCTATTTCTAGAGGCGCTTCAATATCGTACTCCAATTTTAAAAAGTTAAATATTTTTATAAGAAATTATTGTAATCTCCCTATGATTTCATATAATAATATAAATATTTCATGTTCTTCCACACTATATAATAACAGAAAACAGAATTACTAAAAATTCCAATATTGTTAAGTACCTATCATGCCAGTGATCGTTCATTGGTCGTCAAAGTACTTTTTGACGAATGTAGCGGGAGTGACAGTCCTTGGCCAGATAAAAATCCGCGTCGTTCCGGTATAAAGACCCGACTGTCAAAACTATTGGATTTTAGTCGTCTCTTATGACAGGCATAACTTACCACGGGTAAATTCTTGAACCCCTAACCTTCCTGACGAAGGGCAGCCGCAATTAGAAAAAGAAATTAACTTTTTTATTAATATAATTTTCTATAAATTTGGGATGAAGATTTCACTTATGTATGTACATAAGTATATCGGCAGGACCCCAATATTATTATATATTTTTTAGTATTTGAAGTACGATGTCCGATAATTCAGCTGTTATCAATTTTTTGTATTATGCTCTCGAGAAAAAAAACAGATTTCAATGTTTTATTTAACTATTTCGCCTGTTATCCGAGTTTTGCGGCGCCCCGAAGTAGCATTATAGCCCAGATTAGTGGAATTTAGAACTCATAAGGTACGCAAAAAATATTAACTCGCCTCTTATGCAGAAATACTTAATTATACCTGAGTAAACATAAACGAATACATTTTAAACTTGTAAATATAAATTTATGAAAAATTCAACCTGCCTCCACCGTTTACGCCCTGCATTGTTACATTGGGATACATTTTCAAAGATTTCTCAGTTAAATTGCATTCCTACCTGATGCCTTGATATATATTTATACTTATAATTTTATCACCCGCTTACCATTGTAAATAATGGTATTATCTTATACTCACATCGCTTTGTACGTTTTGATATTGCACTTCTTGATGCTGATCTCTAGACCTATCCAAGTTAGAAACGTCTTTAGCGTTGCCTCCTAAATCCCACACTCTCGGTTTTTTACCAGCTTTATCCGTATTGGCTGCCTTAGGCTTTGGCTCTGAAGGGCTCTTCTTTGCTATCATTTTCTCTTTCAATCTTTTACGGTTCTCAATAATCATATCATGATTAGATAATGAATTGTCTTGTTGTTTATAAGTTTCTTGTATAACTACTTTTTTCGTACTCTGAGTATTGGTATTGTCTTCATACATAGACGCAACATTTTTTTTAGATTTAGTAGATTCATTAAATGAACGCATTTGTTTTGGGGCATTACTGATTTTAGTGGCAGACTTCTCCACTCGTCTTAGAGTATTTTGAAATTCGTCATTAAAATGATATTCTATGAGAAGTCTTCGGCTGGGTGACAATTGTTCAGAAAACTTTTTCTTAAATGACTGTTGCAATTCTTCCAGAAATGTATCCAAATAAGTAAGCTTTATAACTTTTTGAAAAACAACTGCGTAGACCAATTCCAACTCATTATCAAGTTTGTACTGAACAGCTAGATTTTTCTCTTCAAAATATTTAGATTCGGTGCTGCGTTCCTAAAAATATAAACATTTTGTCAGCACCTAATGTTTGTATACTTTATACCGCACATACCTCAAGTATAAAGCTTCTAATTAGATTGTTTATAAAAGAAGTATAACTTGTTTGAGATGGATTATAATCCCACAGGATAATGCCTCCTTTTGTAAATGCAACAACGTAATCCAACATGTTATTAAAAATAGATTTACATCCCCTGACACGTCACAATCAAGTAAACTACGGATCTAAAATTTTAAGTATTTGCAACCAATTAATCGATATCAAGTAAATTTTTCCTCGATACCATCGAAAGCTGAACCAAACAAGCAGTGTTGCCGCGGTTTCAAAATCAAAGTATCCAAAACTTAGCCCACAACGTATTCACTTATTTTTTAAAGTATCGGAACGAAAACACTTAATCAACGTTTAATTATCACATAATAAATAACAATTCACTTTACTATACACTACGACATATTGGGCAACTCTAGCACTCTACCATTTTCTTAATTTACCCCAATTTTGTCATCAACGAGTTCCCTTTGTCGCTAACTTGCCACTCCCTTGTATACCTCGTCGACTACTCGTATTCAGCTCCTGAAAATTTTTTACTTGTTTTTACGATATCGAGAACGTTCGATACTCCTGCTCCAGAACATGATTCAGTTATGGGTATTTCCTTTTCATCTGTTATTCGTATTTGTCATTTTCGGCTCACTGTATTCTATTTAATCGCCATATCACAATTATAGTTCGCTCACCGCTTTGAGTTGTGCTGAGTTAAATGAAAGGATTCCACGCAACTGTCAATACGTATACAGCTTGCTAGGTGAGAGATAAATAGGAATTTGCGACAGTCAACCAAAGTCATCGACACAGCGATGGCAAGAAAGTGCCTCTGCCGCATAGAACTTGCCGCATTGTTTCAATTGTCCACAGCGCGGACATGGAAACCGAGTCGTCCAAATCCACTCAGTCAAAATGAATCATGTTTCCGACGTTGGAAGATGGGATATGACCACCGATCATGCATCATATATAATTCTTCGGGGATTTATAATATGATAATTATTGTTTTTCACCAAAAATAATAATTTATCATAAATATTCATTGCACTTTTTATTCATCAACCCTGACTAGAATAGGTTTCGATGTTTCATCTCGGAATATTAGCGATGATTGTCGACCGATCAGGTAGCCCATGACCCACCCCTGCAACCCCGGTGGTAATAAGGATTCCTCAATGTCCGTTAGTAGCACTGAATGGTTAACGCTGTCAAAAGCTTTTGACAGATCCAGTGCTACCAAGACAATTTGCGCGCAGAGTCGGTTTTGGTTAAGGCTATTAACTATCTGAGTGTTTATGGCGTTTAGTGCTGTTGTGGTACTACGCACTTTGCGGAAGCCATGCCAGATGGTGAGTGAAGGTCGGGAGCAGCAAAGTCTCAAGTGTCTTCACTATTGTGTAGAGGAGAGTTATCGGCCGATGAGACCATAAGGCCAAGATGTTTTAAGATTAGCATGCTTATTCCGTCGGATAGATTTGGAGTCTTTCGCCTTCACGATAACCTCCTGAACCTCTTCCCTCAAGCCCCACGGTGGTGTGTGGCAGTTTGCGCATATGGCGGGTTACTCGTTGCTCTCATTCACCGCGTCTCGTAGGGTTAAACCACGACTGGGTGCAAATCCTTCTTATCAAGGCTGGCGTTGAAACCAACCCTGGTCCGACAGATTAATTATGCTGCGTGTGCCAGAAAAGACTCCTCCACCTCAGTTAGGTGTTGCCAGTGCAATGGTTGGAGTCATCTTAAGACCTGCTCAGGCCTTAAGACCCATAGGGAGTGGAGCAAATGCTGTGAATGCCCAAGTGTGCCCTCAGCCTCTACGGCATTGCCTTCAGCACCTTTAGCCACTTTGGGTAGCCAACAGACCGCTACGGTCTCATGGAGCTCCCCGCAGCATTACTTCCTCCTGTGCGAGGGCTACCCAGCAGCTCTTAGTCCCCCTCACAGTCTGTTCCGTGTGCCAGACCATAGTGCGTCGGAACATGACCTCGGTCAGATGCAACTCTTGCCCTGGCTGGTGTCGTCGGATGGAGTGCTGCTTAGATGGAGTGAGACCTGGGCAGACCTTAAGATGACTTCAATTATTGCACTGGTTGCACCTAACCGGGGTGGAGTCTTTTGGGGTACACGCTGCAGAAATAATCTGTCGCACCAGGGTTGGTCTCGACGCCGGCCCTGATGAGAAGGATTTGAAGCAGCCCAGCTGCAAGGTATTGCCCCGTTGGCGTACTTAAATTAATGTTCCCTGTTGACCTAAACGGGGTTAGATCGCCGAAAGGGTGACAGCCCTTGGCCGGGTAAAATCCGGGTCCGTAGAACCGGCTGTGTATGCTACGGAAGGTGAACTTGGATGTGGGTGGGAGTGAAGGGGAAAGTTGGGAGTCATACTGCGGGTAAACCCGTTGGACTGGAGAGTGGAGAGGGCATAATAGTAAAGTCTTGGGCCCTTGTTGAGCATTGACAGCATGAAGTGAGATAACGCAAGATCCATTCCTTGAACAGGAATTAAAATGACTCCCGCCATCCCTAACCGAGATGGGAGAACGGTATTCGTCTTTGGTGTACGCAGTCGAAACAATCCGTTGGACTAGGGTTGACCTCAACCTCAGCCCTGATGAGAAGGATTCGAACCAACAACTGCTGCAAGGTTTTGCTCCATTGATGCACTTAGACTAGAATTTCGTGATGACCTAAACGATGGTAAGTCGTCGAAATGAGGAAAACCCTTGGCTGGGTAAATTACAGAACAACTACGGTGCGCAGAAGCACCTATCGGAAAAATGCTATGGTAATTTGAATGGATTATAATAAATTGTGGTACTTTATGCTATTTAAAATTTGTACACATAGTACATATTAAATATATTAAAACTCTACCCAGATGTTCAGTGATGACTCTTAATAAGGTCAGAAAAACGATTCGCATTTAAAATATATTTAATCAATCGGAATTCTTTATTTAAAGAATTAATATTAACTCTGATCTATGGAAATGGCTGTATGGGAACTATAAAAGTTAACCGATCTTCACAATTGTTCAAATTTAATTTGTTTGCCATAGATTTTTATCAGAAAATAAAACTTAAAAAGTAATTATTACTTCTGAATAAAATTTTAAAAATCATAACGTAAATGATATATCCGTTTAAAAAATTTAACTCAAAAGAATTTTTTTTTTATCAAACAAACTAAATAAGCAAATGAAAAAAATACAAAATAATTTTAATTATTGATTTGATAAATCTCCAAATTAATAACTATATAGTATCGAAAATTCTTAAGGTTCCAAAAAACGATTTAAATTTTTTTTTATAAAACTTAAATTGTTGATAATGATCCCATGCTATTACAAGTATTGAAACACATTGTTGAACACAAAAATGTCAAATTGAAGGATTATACGTCCAGCGTTAAAAAGGTGAACTGCAGAACAGAACACTCTTAAGAAATTGGGCGAATAGAATACTAATGAAATAAATTGCTAAAGTTGAAATTACAAGCATGGTGTAAGCAGATGTGGGTTATTTATTTTTCTTTATTTATATATAAATGTTATTTATTTCACATATTATTTACCTATCCCAATCTTTTTTGCATCTACTTCGTAAATAAGCAATCTCCACATTTTAACAACGAATACTTCTGCTTCTTCGTCCAGGACCTAGAAAATGTAATAAGGAATATAAATGTTTAAAATATTAGAAATATTAATAAATTACCATTTGCACATCATCTAAAATGCTCTGAGGTGAACTTCCAGCAAGCACCTTAGAACAAATAAAATCGACAAGCGTCGGTTCGGGCTCTCCAATGTACTCAATAATTTTTTTATTTATCCATGGTCGAATTTTTCGTTCCATAAGATTATTGTCGATTTCGTTGCGATCGAGTTTATAATTAAATAAATCCTCCTTTTGTGTTGGAATCCTGTCAATGATGCTTTTAATGTGGCGTCGTTTCTCATCATGTATCCTAGTATTATTTTCCTCCTTTTTGTTATTCACTATTTCTGTACTGGTACTATCATTCTTACCATGATTTTTCGAAATAGGTTTTCCGGTATTCGAATTATGGCGATCCCTCTGTGATGTGTTTCCCCCGCCTCTTGATTGATTGTCATCGTAGTCTAAAAAAAAAAAAGTGAAAAATCAAACTAATTTCGAGCTAAATATCAGGATTTTAATTTACCCAATGGAACCAATTTCCGTCTCTTTGAATTACTTTCATCATCTAAATCTTCATCAGCGTTAAAAACACCAGTAGACTCAATTTTCTTTTTCTTTGCGTTCGCCCCTAAATTCAAACTTATGACGGGTGCTAGAGCGGTTGGTGTGGCAGGGTCCGTACTTTGAGTCCTGTTTAATGTAGCGGACGGTATAGAACTGGATATTTGTGGATTTACAATAGGCACAAAATCACGTGATTCGGAACCATGTCGACTGAATTGCACTTCCACATTAGATGCGGAATCGGGCCTAGAATTGGCATCATCGTTTGAAATTGATTCTATCGAATACGACTTTGTTAGAGCATTTAATTCGCTCTCATCATTTGAATTAACATCCAGCAAAAGACGTTTTGTTTCAAGTGTTAGCAACTTTTCTCGGATGCGCTCTTTTTCACGTTCTTTGCGTTTTAAGTTTTCCAAGTTTACATCTATTAATATATGAGGTTTATACAATTTTTCATGTTCTTTTTTTGCTCGCTCATACTCTTGCGTAGGATTTTCATATTCGCCACTGAATATTTTATTTCGCAATTCTTCTAATTCCTCCTGTTCTTTGCTACGGTCTTTTGCATCAAGATCCGCTTCACGGACCCGATCTCCTAATCTTCTTTGAAGCTCTCGACCTCTGCAAAGCCACAATTTGTAATTATTATATTTTGTGAAATTATAATTGTGCCATATGTATATTTTTTTGTTTACTTTTAAATTTCTTACTTATAATATTTATGGTCATCACGATCATCATCATAGTCTTCAACGAACTCTTTAAGTCTCTTGGCTTCCTTTTCTCGTTCTTCAAGTTTCATTTTGTCCTTAATACGTAACTTAGAAAAGATGACAAAAATTAAATTGCATTAAAATAAACAACGTCATTAAAAACTCAAAAAGTATGTCTATCTAAGTTGGCTTACTTTCTCATATTCCTTTGCCTTGCGTTTTTCTCTCAATTCCCAGTTTTTTAGTCTTTCTTGGTAGGCCTCCTCCTTTTCTCGAGCTTTCTTTTCTGCTTTTTTGCGTTCCCGAAGTTCTTCTTCAACTTCTTTTTCTCGGTGAAGGTCTTTAATATTTTTTACGAGCTTTTCTTCACGTTCCCTTTAACAATAATAATTATTATTTTTACTGTTTTTTTGCTATACTATGTACTTCATAAAAATAGATATATATTTTATAAGCGATAGCGGATTTATTAACCAATAAATAGACTAATGTTTTCTTATCGCAAGCATAAAACTTTTCTTGATTTTAGTAATATTAATGACAATTCAGTGATCACTTTTTTTTTACAGGAAAATTATGTCGTTGTTGTATCCACAAAAATTAGGGAATCCCAAAGTACTTTTTGAAGGATGTTCCGGGAGTGACAATCTTTGGCCGGATAAAAATCCGTGTCGTTCTAGTATAAAGATCGGACCGTCGCGGGAACTATTGGATTTAAATTGCATCTAATGACAGGCATGCCTTACCGCGGGTAAATTCTTGAACCCCAGCCCGCAAGGGGTACAGGAAAATTATAATTGCCTATGGTGTTTTGTTTTGTAGAAGCTGATATATTTACATCTATGATAACTTAAATAATTAATATTACCTTTCACGTTCCCTTTCTCGCTCACGTTCTCTTTCACGTTCTTTCTCTCTTTCTCTTTCCCGTTCGCGATCTTTTTCACGTTCCCTCTCGCGTTCTCGCTCGCGTTCACGTTCTCGTTCTCTTTCCCTCTCTCTATATTCACGTTCCCTTTCTCTAGAACGGGACTTACTTCTCCTTCTTCTACTCTCGCGTTCTTTTTCCTTTTTGTTTGGAGAGAGGCTATTAGAATGTAGTTCTTTTCTACTCATTGATCGTTCGTTTACATCTGTTGAATGCTCCTTTTGTTCTTCAACATCCCAATCTTCTTCACTTATATCATCTTTCATAACATCATGGGACTTTCGCTCAGGTTTTTCATATTCTTTTTCCTTGTCCTTTTCCTTTTCTCGCATTCTTTCTTTTTCTTTTTCCTTTTCTTTTCTGTGTTCATCCGCTTCTGCCCTTTTTCTAAACTTTCCAATTTCACTACTAATTAAGTTTCTTTTTTCCTCTTCAAGATTGGTTTCATTGAGAACTTTTGTCATTTTATCTTCTGGACGATTAGCTTTATTTTTATTAATTCTGTTCCCGAACACATCACCACGAGATTTAGAATCGAACTCTTCAAATTCATGTTTGTGTTCATCAAGAATTTTTCTCATTTGATTAAGAACGCTATCATCTTCAGTTTTCTCATCGATGGCAGAGATATTAAGACCGTTTTTTAACTCTTCTTCCTTATAGTTATCCAGAAGAAGTTTATTTTTTGCATCTACTTTGGCTACCAGCTTTTTACCATCAATGTCAAGTTCACTTAATAAACGAACAGCTCGCATACCAGCGCTAGGCCCACTTTAACCAAAAATAGTTAAGAGGTTATCATACATACAAATATACATTTCGGAATTAAAAACATACTCATATTCGCAAAAACCAAAGGTCGAAACACGTTTCCAATTAACAACCATGCCGCATGCTGACAGAATTCTCTTAATTAAAGCTTCAGGCACCCGTTCACTTATGTTTCCTGCCGGTAAGAAGTCTTAAATCATATATCTTTTCATTAAAGTTATACATACCAACAAAAACAGTAATAATAGGACCACGAAACTGAGGAACCGGATCTGGGATACGTTGGTAGACGGTAGGTTGGGAACTGATGGTTGCAGTGCCTCTATAATTCCTCACCGAGGGTGCCGGAGGCATCATCTACATTAAACGATATTGTTAATCATTAATTATAAATCAATTAATTATAAAAAGCAGACTTTATTTATAACTTACATGTGGTGGTGGTACTGATGGATTGATGTAAGGCGGTATTGCAGATGAGCGAGGTGGATACGACATAACGCCTGAGTAGCCTTTGAGCTGATACTTATAATAAATTTATTACACGTACATAAAAGTCTTTCTTTTCTTCAATCACCGGTCGATTTTTTTGTGAAAAAACGTTCACTTTATGAAATTATGATGAAACAACTTAATTATTTCCTTTCAATAAAATTTTATACTACTGAGTTCTAACAGATATAAAAAAGTTTGCCACACATTGAAGGCATTACTAGTCCAATGAAATGATGGCGGACAATAAGAGGCTACCATATTTTTCTTTTCTTGAAGTTTAGCGTGATGTAACGAACTTTTGAGTACCAACGAATGAAACCGATTTTAAGATAAATGAACGTATTTGATTGGCTACACATATTTCAACAATATTTGGATCTTTAAAATAATTTAGAGAATATGTAGATGCACATGGTAACCACTCCAGCAGGTGGATTTTTATGGGGAGCTTTTATTTCAAATCAAAAATACTGTTACGATTTTACTAAATCCCCTCGATTATTTTCTAGATCCTTCGGGTACGATCTCTGGATTGTTAAATAAAAACTCGCCAACTTAATTTGCAGTTTCTTTCGTTATAAAGATTCTATCTAATGTCCTTTATTTTCTCAGTAATTCACAATTCAATTATACTGCACTTTACTATTTATAATCACTAACATCAACTTTCACAATTTACTCTACTTAAATGTAATTCCCAACGCGTTCACTTTACGTCTTCACTGATGTTAACGCCAACCAATTTGCTTTGTCACTGCTTGACTTGCAGCTGAGTGTCGCCTTTATATAGCAGTCGGCTGCTCGCAGACGAAAGCGTAGAAGCATCGAATTGTTCGCTATGGAAGGTTCTTGTTTTATCGTTTCTAGAACGTACTAGTTATCGGCTTCTCTCTTTCATCTGACATTCGCCTCGCATTTTCGCAACAATACATTCGAATGGTTTGCCAGAGAGGAAAAAGAACTTCAATCATGGCGTTAGTATGCATTGCTTTTAATATTTTACAATTTTGGTTGTTTGGTCAAACCACGAATATATGGTAGGAAATTTCTACAGGTAAATACGAGCAATCGGTGGGATATAAGAGAGCGGCAGTCATAACAGTCAGTCAGGTACAAAATGAACTCATTGGAGCTCAGTGAGCGCTCACCACATTTGTGAGCGTAAAATTGTTTTCCTCGGTTAGGTAAAAGTATTTTTACTTAAAAGTGCTTGTGACGGTAATTTACTAGATTTTTTGGGTTGTCAAATGGATTTAGTTGTGCCATTTGCACCAGATAAGCAGTTTTTGACGGAGTCGACGGACAGTAAAACATCTATGCTACAAGGTAAGGAGCATAATTCTTTGCGTTGTAAGCAATTCCTATTGGGATGCTACCGTAGGGAACACCCCAATAGCCATCTTATCGAAGCTAAACCACTGCCTAGGAACATCAGAAAGGGAGTACTCGACAGGAAGAACAACATCCAGCAATACTTGCAAAAACCGCTGCACAGGACGGCGTACAGACTCCCACTAGATGACCTCGGCGACTTAGCTTGATTAAACCTGTACTTGAGTGGGGTTATTGAACCGCTACAACAACAAACTTCATCCACAACCAGAAATAAGGCGGATCTACAATCACGGTTGCGAGAAGCTGTCAAAGGCGAAAATATTGACTTAAATCTATTCGAATTCTGTCGGTAGGATGAGGATACATAAACGAAGGATGTAGGGAAGGAAAAGATTGTTGATTTTGCGAAGGAAGCCATAAGCTTAGGTCGAGGAAAATACTGCTAACTCTTATATAATACATGAACATGGTTTTTGTTGCAATTTCGTAGAAGTTTGATGCACAATATGGCCGTAACTCATTAAATATGACCGCCATTTCAGAAAACATGGATGCACAAGAAAGTCCTGGAAGAGATTTTCAATTGAATCACCCAATCACTGCAATGAACGGTTCCAGAGTTAAATCTCCATTCTTTGATGGTACCATTCCTTTCTATGATTTTAAACTCGTATTCGAAAAGGCAACTGAAGGAAATAACTGGCGTATCGACGAAAAGTCTGCGGCTCTATTCCATGCGTTTAAGGGACCTGCAGCAGAAATTTTGGTGATTCTTGATTATAAGATGGATATCATAATCATGACGCTTTAAAGCGAATCGTAAAACGACGATATGGTAGTAAGCACAAGAGGTGAACGTATTAGATGAAAAAGTGGCTCATTTGGCTATTAGGCTATCTCGTTAGTACTTCAAATGGGAGACGTATCTCAATCCAAAGTATATTTGCCAAAATTGTCGCCCGGACACGTGAGATGTTGGTACTCCTATGTGGACCAGCTAGAAAGTGCAACGTTTGGAAATAGGAAAAGATCACTGCCGGGAACTGCTTCACCTGACAAGGTTGAGGAAGATTAACTATCGTCCACTCAGTCTTTAAACTAAAACAAGCTAGTCGAAAGTGTTTTTTGCTGTCTTTTGCAATTGAACGCCTCATAATCTCCGTCTCGTAAATTGGTAGGAAAAGATCAACGTTACTATTGGTGAATATTTGGATGGACTTGGTCAATAAAAAAGTAAGGTTGTCTGGACCTAGATTGAGGACGACAACTAGTGAGGATATTCAAGTTGTAGAAGAAGTAACTTGTCATGGGGCAATAGAAAATATGGGGTGTTACACAAGTTCAGTTCAAATATTGGTGGAGGTTATGAGACAAATAAATTGTGGGTTATTGTTGGAGCAGTAAAATTTTACACTACGCCTACACGTGCAACATCTATTCTGGATAGTGGTGTTGGTGGTTATGCCGTAGAAGACGTACTTTCATTGGTAATTGATGCGTAGGAGAAGTTAGTTGTCTACTATAGAAGGTCTACTGGAAAGTCGGAATCGAACTACTGCCTAGCTTGGAGAGACCTACTAGCGTTGGTGGATTGCACCAAACATTCCCACAGGTATCTCTACGGGTAATATTTCCGAATTAGAATGGATCATGCAGCGGTGAAGTGGCTACTACAGTTCGAGAATCTTGACGGACAGCTAACAGCAGCACGAAAATCCGAATTTTGTACTTCTAATGCATGGACTGGAGATGAACAGACGGCCAAGTAAGAAGCCAATGTCAGCAGAAAGTCTTATGATGACCAGTGTTACCACAATCTAATAGTAGTTCCGAAATTGAGAATCCCGGCCGTTCTCAAGAAATTCTACAAAATTTTCAGTGGAAGGTGCCTGGGGATTACGAAAACCTTGGCGAAATCAAAACAGCGGTTTTTTGAGTTAGGCTGCAACTACCCATTTCACTTATCAGCCGTCCATAACTGGTGCCGTCAAGGCGAGATACATACACGAGTTATCGACACTGCTGAGAGCGGCGAAATGTTGCCAGCTGCCATTGTGTTTGCACACTTTTGAACAAATTCATAATTTTCGTCAACGAATTTCATAATTTATATGCTTGAATATAAACGCAAGACAAATATACATGATCTATACGGTAACAAATAATTAGTTAAGTATTTAAGTAGTTAAAAAAAATTACGCATTATCTTCGATTATTTAATATTAGTTTAAGAAAGACTATACTGGCTACCTTGTATAGCAACGAGAAATGAGCCGAGCAGGTTTTACGGAAAAAATCAAATAGCCGTTGGTTTCTGCGGAACAACCGTCACTAACGGTATGCGCAAACGGTGACAACTTTGAGTTTACATGGCGCTCTCATAAGATAGGTTACTATGGACGGCTGGTACGCGCGTTGGGTAGTTGCAGCCTAAGATAGGTTACTATGGACGGCTGGTACGTGAGTTGGGTAGTAGCAGCATTAGTTGTCGTCAATCGGTCACGAAATGGATTGAAAACTGCAAGAAATATTTTGCAGCTATAGAATAAAATTTAGAATTCATAGACAGATAGAGTAAAATGACTCAAGCGAAGAAGTTGCCATGCATGCAGGTGGCGCCTTCTCTAGGAGCAGATTAGGAAACGACTACGCCCTTACGCCCTTTAGGTTAGGAACTTTATCAAAGAGCTCTGCCCAATTTCCATAAAGAACAGCACTATGATCAAAGATGAATTTTCGAATCGATGATATTCCAAGAGATGATACTGGATATTCGGGAAACCCGAACGACAGCTCTGCATCCGCAATCAGATGGCATGTTAAAACAATTTTACCGAACCCTAGAAGAGATTTTTATGGAAGGCCGTTAACAAACATTGGAATGATGGGATATTGGTCCGCAGTGAATGAAAAAAAGGGGTAAAACTCCAGAAAGGGTTCTCTTTGGTAGTAATTTGAAGTTTGCGAGAAGAATTGTGAAAGAAGCGTCTAACGTCTTTGAGGAAGAGCTAAGAAAATACACGCTCCTGTGAGACAGAGACTCGGTTCCAGCCGCTTTGCTTTTCTTTAAACGGGCTATCGCTATTCGACGCACGTCGTACGGCTATCACAAAATTATCGATAAGGTTGTTAGTTTTTTGCATGGTAGCTTGGCGAACTTTCTTGTGCTGGAATTTAGTACTACAGACATCCATATTTTAGTCTCTGGCGATCGATTAGCTTCTTTGGAGATATTTCCTCGGGGACGCTGAATTTTCCGACAACTGTACCGAAGGTTTCGTTGAAGTCGTCAAGCACAATTTTGACACTGTGCCGGGCACAACGCTCATAAGTATGCTCCGGGCGCTCATTTCCGTCGGGACACGGAAGCAAATCAGCGATGGGTTCAAAAATTTCGTTTTGATGCAGATTGTGGCGAGATGTTCATCCACTGGAGTGAATACCAGCAATCTCACACCGCAAATTAAAAATCAATTCAACTCCTTTATATGGTCGCTGTAGTAAACTTCACAAATAGCTTCTCGTTTCAGTCCTTGTCTCATCCATCCCACTTCTTTCGGAAACATCAATCAGCTGGGCAGCTGCAACTTTCCATTTAAGGGCCCGCACAGTCTAGGCGCATGCCTTCATATCTTGATCCTGAAAACGTTTGCGGGGTAGTTATGAAGAATTTACTTTCATGGGACCCTACTCACACAGCATGGTATCGAGTTGTTACTTTAGTTCGTCTCTAAAACCGGAAGCTGTGACCTGCTTGTGGCCATTCCCAGGTGAATGGCAGTTATAAACTTTCCTCACTTAAGTGAATATGGTCACATCCTGCTAGACACTTTGTAGTCACTTTTAAGTTCCCCGGTTGTTATAATTGCGCTGCTAACGAACAGATACTACACACATGCGCTCATTGCCCG